TCAGGATGTGGCTTACTTTGGTATTTAAGAGTATTTTGAGGTAAGAATTGCAACTAGTTAATTTCAGCATCTTCCGTGGGTCATCAGGAAGGGATCCTGGTGTGCACTTTCAGATTGCAGCTGTAGTGGTGTTCCTGTGCTGTGTAATGGTTTATTCTTTCATTGCACATTTCCTGTTTATGAGCAGTATAGGAAATTTGTCCACAACTTATATTCTTAAATGTGGAAAAATTGCAACCAGCTTGTAATTATCTTTGGATCCATTTAACAGAATACTTTGCAAATACATTTCTCTGGTTAGCATGGTGTGAGCGTGGTGGTCGTGCAGTACTCTAGTCTTGACTATAGACCAGCAAGTCAATGGAGGAATTTTATGCACTTCCTGTGAACCAAGGCATTCTTGCACCTTAATGCTGTTATAAGTAAGAAAAATAAGGGAAAGTCAACTAACTTGAAGATGACTTTACCTGTGAATTCCTTTATTGGGTGTATTAATCTAGCAAAACTACACGAATTCCCAATCTGTTACTACCATCTATGTGTGTAAATTTTTTTTTTTTTTTCTTCTTCTTCAAACAATAGCTTGCTGTTGGGTGGGAAACAGTGAATCTTTTGTGCTGATAAGATGAACCGTGGTTGCTGCCTCAACATAGTTTTTCATTTTCCTCCATAACTATATTTTTGTTGTTGTTGTTTTTAAGCCTCTAAATTATAATCCTTTTTGAGTCCTTTCTTCTTTTGTTTTTGTCTTATTTTGAGAGAGGGAGGGAGGTGGGAGAGAGTGGGGGGTGTGTTTCATTATATAGCTCACAGTGGCCCTGAACTCATTACTTTCTTCTATCAACTGCCCTAGTCTCTGGATTACTGGTGTGTGCCACCATGCCCTCCAACAACCTTTTTGAGAGATTTCTATTTGTATTTAGAAACTGATTTTTTTAAGAGAGAGGAGGGAAGATGTGAGGGTTGTAAACAAAGAATGGTATTTAAGAGCATTTGGGCTGTGTCCTTATGATACAGTAGGTTTTATGGCAACAGAGGTCATAATCTGTTCAACCTTGTTCCAATGCCTAGGACACTGCTTGGCACACCATGAGCAGGCAGGAATTACCTACTAAGTTGATGAGTATCAGTGAGTTTCTGTTGTTGTCTTACTGGTGTTTTTGAGACAGGATCTCACTGTGTTGCCTAGGCTGTCTGGACTGGTGATCTCCCATGTCAGCCTTTGGAGGGTTGGGATTATAGGTGTGATACCTGAGATAACAAACCTGCTCAGTTTTGCTTTATTTAACATTTTCTTGGATCACTTGAATTTCCCTATCATATCTGACTCTTTAAATATTGACATTGTTGGATCACAAGACTGCCTTTAAATTGTTCATGTGCTTGCTGTGACTTTATATTATTGCTTCCTTGTGTGAGACCAAGAGGAGAAGAAATCTGACCTGGGCATACTTATGCCACTGCTCATCTTATTATTGTAACAGTTTAAGAGAGGCATAAACATGTATTGAACTGATCAGGGCAGTGGGGAGGAGGGTAGCAGATTGTGTGCCACAAAGTGCATAGTGGCCATTTTGTTCCTTGTAAGGTGTTCCTCCTGGAAACCAGAGATCCTAGACAGTGCTGCTTCTGCCCTGAGAATGTCCTTCTCTGCCTGTATCAGACCTCTCCCTACGATTGCCATCCCCTCTCTTGGAGTCAGCACATCTGTCACTTAGAAAGCGAAGTGAACAATCCTTGGCAGAGTATTTAAAGCCCATGCACATTTAAATCAACGTTACTGACTGATTTGACACTTGACTCTTGGGCAGGAGACACACTCAGTGCCCCCCAAGAATTTGATAGGGCACTCTTTACCTTTTTGTCGTTTGTGCCATCTTCAGCGGAAGGAGGTTCCTGTGGATCATTCCCTGTGTCTGTGTCCAAATCTCATTTTTAGAAGGACCTCAGTCATGAGATTAGCACCCATCCTAATTCAGCATGGTTGTAGCTTAACTTGTACATCACAAAAGACCCTATTTCTAAACGAGGTCTGACTCATGGGTGCAGGAATTAGGAGTATAATATACCTTTTTTTTTTTTTTTTTTAATTTTGCGGAGGGGGCATGGTTCTATTTATAGTTTTGTTACAATATATGATATAGGTCTTACTCTGTTTGGTGTAATTTTTGTTTTTACTTACTTTTGAGACAGGGTCTTGTTCTGTAGCCCAGGCTGACCTTGAATCTTCCTAGTTTGGCCTCTCCAGTCTAGGGTTATAACACACACATATTTCAAAAAGATGTGTTTTCTGTATCTCACATCCTTTGAGGGAAATAATTCATGCTCTGGCTACCTTGCTTTGTACTCTTGGTGTGGAGTTTGAGAAATAAGGTATTCTAACCAGGCAAAAAGCACCATGAAACAAAGTTTTGTCACCTTCTAAACATAAGTAGAAAGCAGTTGGCACTTAAAGGAGTGGGTTTTCACTTTTTTTTTGTAGATAGGTGCTATCCCAGAGGCCTTCCTGAGGTGATGAAACAGACAGAGCTTGAGGTCTGACCTCAGGCCTGTCTCATTCCAAAGCATCGCATTGCCATGCTTGGTGATAACTTCCTCTGGGAATATTCCAGATGGCAAATGCCAAAATGCTAATTGGATATTAAACCAAAATTTATACATTCTGATTCTCTTCCCCCCTTTTATTTTCTCTTCCTCCTCCTACTTTTTTTTTAAGACTCTGCAATCCAAACCAACCTGGAAACCACTGTAGGTCCTATGCTGGCCTCAAACTTTAAAGTGTTGGGATTATAGCTAAATACCACACACCAAGCACCTTCCTTCTGTGTTTGTTTATTTCAAGACAGGGTTTCTCTGTGTAGTCCTGGCTCTCCGGGCACTCACTCTGTAGACTTGAACTCAGATCTACCTGTCTCTGCCTTCTGAGTGCTGGGATTAAAGGCCTGTGCCACCCACTGACCAGCTCTAGCTCTTGTCTAATTGAAAAGGAAGATGAATTTAATAAAATGTTATGATGGTTGTTGAATCTGAGTTCTAGAGATGTTAAGTCTAACTGAAATTTTAACTGATAGTCCTCAAGAATTGCTTTGTAAACTTTGCCACTTTGGCAGAGTGTAATCTTGTGAGCAATAGGGATTGTATAAAATACTCTAAGGAGGCTAGGCTAGGTTTTTTCTTTTCTTTCTTTTCTCTCTCTCTCTCTCTCTCTCTCTCTCTCTCTCTCTCTCTCTCTCTCTCTCTCTCTCCCTCCCTCTTCCTTTTCCTCCCTCCCCTTTAAGTCCCAGTCTCACTTTTTGTAGCCCTGGCTAGTCTGGAACATGCTCTGTAGATTATTAGGCTTACCTTGAATTCACAGAAATCTGCCTGCCATGGCCTCTTGAGTGCTGGGATTAAAGATACGTGCTATCATACCTTGTGGTGATTAAGTCTTTGTTGCTTTTTTTTTTTTTTTTTTTTTTTTTAACTGTAATAACTTCGCCCTGTGTTAGGATTATTACACCTGGCAGCCTGGGGGCATGTGGCATGTCCCATTGGCCAGGCCTTCAACATGGGCTGCCTCTGGACTGAGGGCAGAGGAAAAATGGTTTCCAAAGTAAATTTGCCACAGTGTTCCACATCTAGAAAGCATATTGGTGAGAGAAGGGACGACCAAAACTTTCTATTTTTCTGCAGTTGGGGTTTAAGAGAACAAATGGCTTCCCCCAGAGAACGTGCTTAGTAACTGCCATTGCCTGAAAGAGAAGGACTGACGGCACACAGCTTCTCACAGACTCTAGCCTTCTCACTCCCGGGAGACAGTGGCTAGCACTTCGGAGCTCATATGTGTGCCAGGCTTGTATGAAGCTTTTACATTTTTTATGTGAGCCACACAGCCAGTTTGTGAAGTCAGCAATTATACATTGACTACTCAGAATGGAAGGACGGAAGCTCTTGGGTTTGAATCCAGCTGCGTCTGACCATACTTACACAGTCTGCTACTTTGACACTGTCCATTTGTCACTCCTTTGTCCACCTGTCTGGTTGTCGCCCACCCCATCACTGTCCTCCCCCATGTCCTACAGCAGAGTCTGCCTGAACAGTTGGCACCCCTTCTGCCTCAGACACATCTCCTAGATTCTGCTTTAATCCCTCTCTTCCCTGCCTCTGCTGTTGGTCACTGCAGCCTGCAGCAAGCATCTTGGCTCACTGAGCATTCCACTCCCACCTCCGGATTTTCTTAGGGCAGTCAGCTATCTGATCTCTTATCAACCATCTGCCTTCCTTGGCTGCCTGGGCCTGCCCCAGCTTCCCAGGACCGGTGATGGGGGTGGGGGCCAGTTCTCTGGTTTCCCTCTCCTCCTTTCCTGTGTTATACTCTGTTGTGTGGTATTCACATTAACTGTTCATTCTTCAAGTCTGCATTTAAAAGTTGCTTTAAGTCCTTAGTGCCAACTCTGCCTCTCTCACACCTTAAATATCACACACTTTTGGAGACAGGGTCTTACATTATAACCAGACTGGTCTCTCTCCTCAGCAGACTCCTTGAGGCCTGTAGATGTGAGCCTGAAATGTGTGCCTGGCTCTGAGACTCTTGGATCCTCCAGCTTCCTTTTTTTGAACTTCAGACAGTTTGTAGTTATATGTAACTATTAGGTTAATAACATCCCCCACTAAGCCTTGAACTTCATGAGGACAGGGATGCAGGCATTTGATTAATTATTGATTCCCTACTGCAGAGCCTCGAATACAATACAGACTATGTGTTGAATGGATTGCTAACCATATGCCAAAAGCACAGGTTGTAAACTGTTCCTTTCTGTACTTTATCCTTTCTGATAGAATTGGTTACTGCTGCACAGACTGTGTTTTCTTCTTCTTAATGTCTTTTGCTTAGGAACTTGGTAGTATTTGCACAGCCACTTTCTGACTGGCACACAGGCATACTGGCTGGAAACTGCATTTGCCTGTGAGGACTCCAAGCATTGAAGATAATCTAACTTTTTTGTCTTTTGAATCCACAGTTGGTCATGTTCAGAGTTTGATGTGAGTGACATCCGCCTGATAGTGTACCAGGACTGTGAGAGGAGAGGAAGACAAGTCATGTTTGATTCCAGAGCCGTTCAGAAGATGGAAGGGGCAGCAGTTCAGGTATGAAATGCTGATAGGCCTCTAGCCCTCTTTGATCACTTTGAGCTGTGTTGTGCAGTGCCAACAAGGATTCAGATGAACAAACAAGTATGGTAGGCCAATGGTGGACTATTGTCATCAAGAGAGATGCATTTCCTGGTGATTGTAATCTGGTAGGATTGTGTAAGCAGTGAGCATAGTAAGAAATACGTCACTGAGATTCATAAAGAGCTAGAGTATTTGTCAGAAAAGAAGGTCATTCTATTCTTTCCTGATTTTCTCATAGATAAAGATGCCAAATGTGGCTCATGCCTGCAATCCAGCGCTAGATAGGCTGAGGAAGGAAGATGGTTCTTTGGGGCTAACCTGGGCTACATAATAAGACCGTGTCTCAAAAACCAAAATAAATCAAAGATATTTTGTAACATAAGGTCAAACAAAATTAAAGGCCCTCACTGTAGAGCCCTAATATGCAAATGTACTCTGTCCTCTTACTTCTTCTGATCAAGGAACCTTTCATTAATTTCCCTATGGTGGGAGGGGGAGGGACTTGGGATAGCCAGTGAAGACAGGAAAAAAATCTTGACCTGCTTGATCCAGACCAGGAAAGATAAAAATAATTTGAGAGGAACCTTACCCTCCTTGGTTTCTGTGGATACCTCTAATCTGTCTCCTGGCTAGACCATTCAGTTCAATCTTTGTTCTGAAATAAATCCAATGATAGTTACTCTTTTCTTGTTTAATTACTTGCTTCCCATACTGACCAAACTCTGGTAGCCTACAGGCTGGGGTTAAGTAAACTGGACATTTATAGCATGGCCTCTGTCTCATGAGGGCCCATAGGCATTTTCCAGCTTTATTTCTTAGTGATGGTTTTGTGGGGTTGTGCGGGCTTCTGCCTGCATGTGGGAGGCAGAGGACAGCTCTGTGGTCTCCCACCTTTTTGTGGATTCCAGGGATCAAACTAAGTCACAAGACTTGTGGGACCAGTACTTTTGCCTACTGAGCCATCTCGCTGGTTCTTGTTTTCCAGCTTTTGATAAGAATCATTGTTCGCAGGAAGGAAATGTTTGGTTGAAGGCAGTTGAGCCAGGTGGATATGGCAGTACTTAGGGAGGAATTCTGCCCGACAGCTAATCATTACACCAGTGGTTGGGCTTGTTAGGTGGGTGGAGGAGAAAGCTGAGAAATCTCTCAGATGATTCACATACGTTTTAATGACAGATTGGGATCAGGAGCTTAGGTGAGGCAGCACTTGATCCTTTGTTTGCCGGGCAGGAGAGGGCTCTACACAAGTGCTTCTCACAGATGGCGGAGCTCCAATCTCTGGAGCTGCTGATGGTGGCAAAGTTAGAGGAAAAAATGATGGGGGGCGGGGAGCTGGAGTTGTTATATCTGAGCAGGGATAACTTGATAATCTCTGACATCACTTTCTTAGAAGTACCTATTTAATTAAAAAAAAAAAAAAAAAAAGCAGCTTAGGCTCAGGAGCATTTTTGTAGCTTGTCAAAGCCTGTGGGAGAAGCCAATTGGTAGCCCATTCATTATACCAGGTACTGTTTGCAGCCATGCTCATTGCCCCATACTCTTGCTGTCTGCTCACAGGTGGGACTTCCCTTTGCCAACTTTCAGCCCTCTGAGAGACTGATTCTGGCTTACTAAGTGGCGCTAAGTAACAGCTGGAGCTGAAAGCAGGATGCTTAGGATTAACCCTGTACAACTTCAGAGTCCGTCATTGCTGTAATCTCTCTGTGGAGCAGCACGTTGTGTGTTTTCTTTACATTCTAATTCAGCCCCTTCTCAGCCTCACCCCCTTGATAAGCACAAACATCATGGGTTTGAATCAGCAGCTGACTGCCGGCATGTGCGTTAGATAATGCACCAGTGTGACCGTCACACCGGAAATTAGATAAACTGCTGTGGTGTTCAGGTTTCCCAAGCAAAGGCTGCATAAGAACGGGAAAGGGAGGCAAAGGGGACTCAGCAGAAGTCATTCCTCATGGAAGCTGCTGCTCTATAGGGAGTGTTCCATTCTGGAGGCTGCTGAGGATATCTTTATACCTTTATGTCACTGTCATAAAGAAAAATTAGCAGTGAACACTTTAGGGAATATAAAGTAGATAGTCCTCCATTACCTCTGACCTTTACAGACCACATTCCCATCGCATGATCTGAGTGTGGCTTGCAGTAGCTCCTGCTTCAGGGTTTGGCTTTCATCTTTCACAATTCCATCCTGGTGGTTTCCTTCCCTGCACTTAAGGAGTGCTAGAAGGAGGATGAAAAACGCAAGCCTGCCTGCCCAGTTTATTGGTCTCTCTTCTCTCTAATATTTAGCTGGTAAAAATTTGAATGTTAGTGGACATTTTTCTCTTCATCAGTTCCATATGTTAAGACTACATAATACCAAAATCTTCTAAAAACTAGAATAGGGAATAGTTTGTCTATGACTTTATAGTACACATTTAAATGTAAATACAGACTATTTAAAGAGAGTAAGCTATGTCTGCCATCTGTCTCTCTGTTTTAGTCTGTCTGTCTGTTGTGTCTTTATTTATGCAAACACCTTGCCATTCCAGACTCCCAGCAATGATACTTTTGTCTTATGAAGGGAAATTAAACAGAGCTTTTGGTTTTAACCTGTTGCAGGCATCTGAATGTTTTTTTTTGTTGTTGTTGTTGTTGTTGACAATTTCCACTGTTGATAAAGCCAGACATCCTTGATGATCCTTTGCTTTGCCTGCTGTTTTTATCCCAGAAAGCAGAGGATGTCCCTGTTAAAATGTCAGCCAGGTGCTGTCAAGAAAGCAGGAGTGTCAGCAGCACCATCAGCAGCATCAGCAGCAGCATCTCTTCCCATAGCTCTGGGGGATCCTTACAGCACTCTAAGGAGCAGCTTCCAAAGTACCAAGTAAGCCATGTTGTCTCTAGAACAACCATGATAAATGTGGGCTCAAACATCTCAAAGGAGGTGCTCTTGTTTTAATTTTTTGTTGTTGTCGTTTGATTTGTTTGTTTGTTTGTTTGAGACAGCTCTCAAGTAGTTCAGGCTGGCCTCTAACTGGATATGTAGCTGAGGATGACCTTGAATTTCTGATCCTCCTGCCTTCACCTCCCAAGTTCTGGGATTTCAGGTATGTGCCATATCAGGCTTGTTTTGATTTTTTTTGGGACACTCTCCCTGTGGTGTATTAGTCTAAGCAGGCATGGAACTCATCATGCAACCCATGTTGATCTCCAATCTTTTTGTCTTAGTCTCCCTAGTGCTGAGATTACAGACATGTACCACAATAACCAGCTTTCCATACATTTATTTTAATGATTTGTTATTTGCATTGGTGGTTTGCTTGCATGTATGTCTGTGTGAGGGTGTCAGATCCCCTGGAACTGGAGTTACAGAAAATTGTGAGCTGCCATGTGGGTGCTGGGAATTGAACCCAGGTCCTCTGGAAGAACAGCCAGTGTTTCTAATCGCCAAGCCATATCTCTAGCCCTCCAGATTCTCATTTTTTAAACCTGTACAGAATATTATCTCTACTCTTGCTAGTAAAACAAGGTGATGGTGATTACCAGCGGCCACAGGTGAATAAGCCTTGAATTTTAAGAGTTGTGTGGTACATTTGCCCATATTTTACAGCAGTAAAAGGTAGTTGAGAATCCCAGGTGGCACATGGTTTTTGTATCAAGAAAAGGTAAATTATAAAACAGAGAGGGTGAGTGGAACTTACTAGTAGAGAATGTGAGAAATTGGTTATCTCTGTCTGAAATGAAGTCTATATGAGTTGTAACCAGAGATGAATCCACTGTCTATTAACAGGACCAGCAAATTTATCTTTCCTCTTTTGTCATTATATAGAAAATGAGAGAGAGAGAGAGAGAGAGAGAGAGAGAGAGAGAGAGAGAGAGAGAGAGAGAGAGAGAATGTATGTGTGTGTTTGTACTTAGCTATGTATATTGGCATTTCAGATATTGGGAAAATTCAAGAAAGTGTATTGAGGAAGATTCCTTTATTTTTTTCTTCACACTGAGAGCACACTTGCCGAGTCTGCCTGTTGGGCTTCAGTCAGGCTGTACTTGTGTGCCTGTAGCATACTAGTTTGTTTCACACCTTTCTTTGACTTGTCCGTAGGATGTTAGTCAGCATGAATGAGCACAGGGTTCTCAACTCTCTCATATTTACATTATGATTCAAAACACTGGCAAAATTATGGTTATGAAAGTGGCAACAAAATAATTTTATGGTTGGGGGTCACCACAACATGAGGAATTGTTATAAAGGACCTCAGCATTAGGGAGGTTGGAACCTCTGCTCTAAGACATTTTATAGCTGAAAGGGAGGTGTTGACCTAGAATAAGTCATAAGGGATTTTCTTGTAAATAACAAAGCAAAAGAATGATGGAAATGCCTGGTGGGCCAGAGTGTTCTTCGGGGAGCAGCTATATTCAAAGAGTGATTTGAGAAGAACGGATTCAAATAGTAGGAAGGTAGTAGTGTCAAATAAGATGTTGGTAAAGGAAATGAGGACGTGTCTGCTGGATTTGAGGAAACATGGAGTATGGAGTCATCAGAGCAGACAGGATCAATCAGGCAAACCCCGGCTTCTCTGTGTTCAAAAGCTGGCATTCAGTACCTCAGCCCTTCAAGTAAAAGATGGTGAAAAGGCACGAGAAGCTGGTGGATGTGTTTTTGACATAGTCTTATAAGATTTTAGAGCAACAAGATCTCCTTTATCTCCCAGATCCTCACAAAGTCCTATGTGCACACGACCATAGCAGTCAGTTTTCTTTGCTGTGGTAAAGTGTCATGACCAAGGCAACCTACAGAAGGAGTTATCTGGGTTTGTGGCTCCAGAGGGCCAGAGCGACACACCTGGCAGCAGGAGCAGGGAGCTGGGGTCTTACATCTTGAACGTCAAGCACGAAGCAGAAATCAAACTGAAAATGGCAAGAGTCTTAACTCTGAAAGCCCCTCCCCTAGTGACATGCTTTCTTCAGCAAGGCCACACACACATCCCAAACCTACCCAAACACCAACTTGGGACCGAGTGTTCAGCTCTCTGAGTTTATGGGGGAACATTCTCATGCAAATGACCACAACTAGTAGTTATTTAGTTGAATAACACTAAACCAGGTTTCTTTGCAGGATCTGCTACATACCTAAAGAAGAGAGAGCCTGTTTCTTTCACAGTTAGAATTTATAAATGGAGGATGGATAGTCTTTTGTTGTGTGAGCATGTTGTATATAAGGAAGAAATAAAAATAGTAGTATTTGGGAACTATAGTAGGTGATCACTGCATAGATGATGATTGTGAGATGAATGGTCATGACAGCTCACCCAACCAGAGACCCAAAGATTAGCCCGCAGAGCTTTCTATTGCATTGTTCCATGTTGTCTTCTAACTGAGTCTTATTTCTTGTGCACAGTACACGAGACCCGCTTCCGATGTCAACATGCTGGGGGAAATGATGTTCGGCTCTGTTGCAATGAGTTACAAAGGTTCCACCCTGAAGATACACTACATACGGTGAGGTTGCCCCCATGCTGGCTGTGAGAACTGGAATGCTGATGCTGACTTCTTAACTTAAAAAGCACATTTCTCCCCTCTTGTTTTTCTTTTTCTTTTAGTTCTCCTCCGCAACTGATGATTAGTAAAGTCTTTTCTGCTAGAATGGGTAGCTTCTGTGGAAGTACAAATAAGTAAGTGTGGGGTTTTTTTCCGTCCCACCTTTCCTATGTGTTCGGGCTGTGTTATCTTCAGAGTGTTGAGTTTTAGTTTCTTGCTCAAATAATACCTATAAAAAAATCTGCCCCACTCATTTTTATGAGTAATTCTAAATTTCTTAAGGTGAATAATAATTTCTGATTTAAATGAATTCATTTTGTGTGTTTATTGAAAATGCTTGGGTGTGTATGGGAGGGGGGCAAAGAAAGCAAACCTTGAAATGAATAGTAACATCTTAGGAATTCTTTTCTAAGGCAGAATTTGAAAATGAAGAGTGGTACGGAGGGTGTCAGTTACTGAAGTACCACTAGAGTTTTATTTCAGATTATGACATGGTTACCAATGCAGTTAGTTGTGTAGGGAGTCATGTGGACTGGCCATTTCCAAAACATCTTTTGTTTTGCTCCAAAAAATTCCTCCCAATGTACCATCTTTACTCCCCTTGGTAGATGTGATATTTTATTTGCAAAGGAAAACTCTGAGTGACCGTTCAGTTGTTGTCTGTAGTTGGGAACCTATTAAAAAACAAATTAGTTAACCTCTTGATGTTCTCAACCGCTCCTCTCCATTCCCATCTCCATTCAGCCTGCAGGACAGCTTCGAATACATCAACCAAGACCCTCAGGTTGGAAAACTGAACACAAATCAGAACAGTTTGGGTCCTTGTCGCACTGGAAGTAACCTAGGTAAAAATGAGACACTCAACAGAGTGCCCCTGACTGCTACTGTTGGGGGTGTGTTTTTTGCGTTTTGTTTTTGTTTCTGGTTTTGTTTTTTTGACGTTATCTTTAACTTATGTTCATTTGTGTGTGTGCCTTGCGTCTTCTGTGTGTCCAGCTCTAGGTCTGCTGCCGGCGTGCAGCAGCAAACTGCTGCAGGGGGTGTCCGAAGGAGGACCGCTCCAGCTCACCCGCAGTGCTTCTTTCTTTGCAGGTTTGTGTGGAATGCTGAGCACAGTGTAGCCCACACACAGTAAAACTCCTATGGGGGTTCTCAAAAAAAAAAAAAAAAAAAAAAAAAAAAAATCCTTCATTCTTCTTTAGAAACCCAAAGGGCTCTTCTGGCAGGAGACACTAGTTTCACATGTGGCTGGAGTTGTGCTGTTTTGAACTTCCACCCTAGAACCTCTCTGTCGTGAATGTTTCTGCTAATGGTTCAAGTGTGAGCTGGTTTTGATCTGAACTGAGCCCTTCGTGTTTCTAGGAGAATGAGTTTCTTCTGATTTTTCCCTAGGCCTCCTCTGCTGCTGTGATCTGGTTCTCTTTGCCCGTGCCATCTTTTACCCATTAATTCACCTGCATGGAGTTTCTAAGTCACTCTAGTAGGAGCATGGGAGGGCTCAATCAGGGCTCCTCTACCCCCCATCCCCTATCCCCCATTAACTTACTTAAATACAGGGTCTAGTTTCCTTACAGGTGTAGTCATCTTGATAATTCTGGATATTGTCTGAGATGTAACTGGCCCTGCCAGCAGAGGCTTTTTATGTCTGTTGTAGCGTGATTAACAAGTGTGAGCAATCTTCATGACTAACTTGAAGTTGTGAGGAAGGCAAATGGGATTTTTCATTCTATTCCTTTTCATACCCTGAAATATATTAAGCATCATAGTTTTCTGATGCCTAATGAAACTGCTCTACTGTCCCAGCTACTTAGACCAAGTATAGCATGTCTTCATAGTGCCTTTAAAACTTGGGACATAAACATGTTTCTGAAAAATGCTAGCAGGTATGATGTTCAGTCACAACAGTGATTCCATGTTCATGTAAACTTTACTAGAACACAATTCTCATCTGCCTTTCAGCCCAGTAAGTCTATAGCTCAGTCAGTCTGAAGCCTTCTAGATATGTGTGCTACCTAAGAGTGTTTTCCAAGTTTATGCCAGTTCATGAGTTTTTCTGAGTAACTATAATACCATGTATGGGGAAAAGAACTGGAGGGAAAAACTGTTAGAAAATTAATGTTTTCTGTCTGCAGAAAGAGTAGGTTATAAACGAACATTTCTAGATTTATGGAATGATTAATTTTAACTATTTCTCTTCCTAAGCTGCCTACAACTATTACTGAAACTAAGTACAAAGCATTTTGAAAATATTGACTGTTTAAATACTATTAGAGGAAATGGCTACACTAGAATGCTGATTGTATTAACTGCATGGATGGTTTATTGCACATGTCATGCGGAGGAGTCTGCAGGCACCAGCATGAAGGCAAATGGCTTGTTGGTTTTGCTTCTTCATTTCTTGTTATCTTTTTATGTAATTTGCTACCTAGTTGATCTCTGTTATATATTAGGCCTCTCATCAATAGCAGTAGCCTACTTTGAAATCTAAAATTTACATGAAGTCATTTTTTGGATGTCTGTCTTTGCAGAGCCTGATAATATTTTCCTTGTGTCTTTGTCTTAGCACACAGCACGCCAGTTGATATGCCAAGCAGAGGGCAGAATGAAGACAGGGACAGTGGCATCGCTCGATCAGGTACTTTCTTTACTGGTTTACAGGTTTAAGTAATAAGGTAGGCTATCTATATGGAAAGCAGGAAACAGGTAGTCCTTGATTTCTGTCCTTCCTTCCTTTTTCTTTCTTTCTTTTCTCTATATTCTAAGTCTTATGCATCTGAGAATGTGAAACTTTAATGTTCAGCATCTAGGAATGATTATGCACACAAACTAGTTTTATCTAATACTCAGATTTATATGAGACTGATAATTTCCTTCCAGCAGGAAGCTTCGTTGTGCCACTTATACTAGGAATTTTCTTGCTGCCTGCTCAATAAGGATGGAACAGGCCTGTGGTCTTCAGTCTACCTATAACAGTGGGAGATACCACCAGCTGACTTGCTCACCCTTTCTGTCCTATGATGCTGTTCTGAAGCATATATATCTCAGTACCCTTCTCTGCTCACTTGGAGCCCTAACCTTGCCCAATACTGCCTTTAAAACCCCTTGGTTTCAACTTTCCTGTACAAATCAGCTCTTGAATTTTAATTTGTGGTTTTAGATCTGAGGTTTGTTCCATGTTTCAAGGATCAGAAGGGCTATAGGCAGCCTTCCAGTGAGAACCAGGAATGTCCTACTGGAGTGTCCTGTGACATGAAACTCCTTTGTCAGGGGCCCATCAACTGAGTGACATTAGGCTCAGGTCTTGGTATCTTTCCTCCTATCTTTTCATCCATTTATCACTACCTGTAGCTCCCAGATTCTGTCTCAAAGTCCTGTGTTCTTTCTCCGTGGTATCAGAGCCCTTCATCCTCACCCTGTTCAACTCTGTTCCCCGAGTCACTAAAGAAACAACAGGTGCTGAATTCCCTCGTTTGGTTTATATGTGTTATTAATCCAAAGGATTTTATTCATGGTCAAAATGGGGATCTAGAAATAATAGGAAATGTTATAACTTTATTAAAACCTTAAGTTTGAGCTTGTTCCAGGACAACTAGAGCTGTTACGCAGAGAAACCCTGTCTCAAAAAACCAAAGAACAAAACAAAACAAACAAAAAACCCTCTTAAATTGATTGAGATAAGGTCTACCAATCAATCCATAGGTAAAATATCACACAAAAGCCAGACTCAGTAAGTTTTATTTATAGGGAAAATGAAAGGGCCAGCTTTAGTCTTTTTATAAGTCTTTATAGACCCTTCATTCTTAGAGCCCAGATTGTGGATAAAGATATTCACTTGTTGAATAACTCTGTTGGTGGTGGCAGGGACAGAGACCCAGCTCCATACTGTAACCCATAGAACCCATAGCAGCCCAGGGAGTTCCCATAATCCTTTAGGGACCCTGACTCAAGCAAACCCAGAATTGGTGTGCTTCAACACAGAAAAGAATTACAGAGTAAGCCACTATGAAGCAAGAGTTGGAGCTCATCAGAAGACATTTTTAGTAGAGGTTTTAAGCACAAGGGTTGAGAGGATTAGGAATTCATTGGCTAAGAATAGAAGGTGGCTGGGTGTGGGTAGGCTAGTATTCTTACTTCCTTTCTAAAGAGTGATGATGTTCATCTGTAATCCCAGCACTGGGGAGGTTGAGGCAGGAGGATTGAGAGTTCAAGGACAACTCAGACTGCATAGCAACAGATACTGTGTCAAAAAATTATGTGCCTGTTTTACCCCTCATATTTAGAAAATTTTGGAAGAGAGAAGTTTTAGTCTCCCCCTGCTGGATATGATTGGTAGAACCCAAATTTTTAGGTTGTGTGTGTGTGTGTGTGTGTGTTTATGGTGTTGAAATACACATTACATGTAAATTTGTCATCTTAAACTTTTTCTGGGGGTATGACTGTAGGGAAATTATGTAGCTCAGGCTAGCCTGGAACTTGAAATTACATAGTTAAGCTGGCCTAGAACTCAACAAGACCCTTCTACCTCTACATGTCTAGTACTGAGGTTATAGGAATGTGCCTGGCATAGAATCGATTATTTATTATTTATGCATTCATTTGTTTGTTTATGGGGAGCAGTGAGCACACTATACAGATGTACAGACGTGCTGTAGGAGTTTCTGTCACAGTCCAACTTGGGTGTCATTTGCTTTCTGAGATGGAGTCCTTTCCTGTGAGGTGGGTCTTTCTGATTTGGCTAGGATGCCAGTGAACCCCAGGGGTTCTCCTGTCTTTTCCTCCCCAGTGACAGGATTATAATTGCATACTAGCAAGCCTAGACTTCTGTTTGGTCTCTGAGTAGCCCCCAGCCTCTATGGAATCTACTGTAAATGTATAGCTCAGGGATACTGAGCACAATGTGTGCATTATAAGAACTCGAGCCAGGACTCTCACATTTGAAATTTGCTTCCTTGCAGCTTCTCTAAGTAGCCTTTTGATCACACCCTTCCCGTCTCCAAGCTCCTCTACGTCCTCTTCCAGCAGCTATCAGCGCCGCTGGCTTCGAAGTCAGACAACAAGTTTGGAAAATGGCATCTTTCCAAGGAGGTGAGTTACATATTTCCTCTGGCTAAGGAAAGTGCTCATGTAAACAACTTACGAAACCTGGCAGGGTTATCCTTGCTGTTGTCAGGAGAAGACCTGAAACTTTGTGATTAGCTCCAGGTCAGCCTGGAAGTTTACAAGTTCAACTGTTAAGGAGATAGTAAATTAGAGCTAGGCAGGCTGGCCTGGAATACAAATATGTAGCCCAGATAGGGCTCAAACTCACCATGCTTTGCCTCTGTTCCTAAGTGTTCCTAGGATTATGTGTATGCTGACACTATGTGCAGCTGAGGGAAAAAAAAAATCTTTTTATTTAGAAGATACTGGAAATGCCCGGATAGCTACACAATGTATGTGCTAGATTTGTTGGTAACTTAGAGTATCTCTCTTTAAGCCAGATTCCTTACAGACATAGTTATAAGTAATAAAGGATTGGACAATCTCTTCCCCTCGTTACAGTGATTTCAGTGTGGTATTTGAGGCATAGTCCCTTTGTGGGACTTAAATTCTTCGACTAAACAGGGATGAATATGAGTATAGATAGAGACAGCCTCAAGGTATTTCCTGCCTTTGTTTCATTTTGGTTTTGAATCTGAAGTGTATTTAGTTGTGTTCAAAGTATAGATTTGATGCTATACCAGTAGTAGCTCTATACCAGGCCCCCCCTTTTTTTAATAGCTCTAAAAATTTAAAGGGAATTTCCAGATGTCACTAAAATATTCGTGTCAATTGAGTTTGTAAATTGCCCAGTAATCACTGTGTTTTGAGAATCTGTGAAGATGGCTCAGCCATGTGCTTGTGTTAAAGTAGGGAAGATGACAGTAAACAGGTGTCAAGAAAGATCAACACATGATAAACACCACAAAGGTGTGAACTACATTGGAACTCTGGAGAAAGAAGCATGGTGGTGGGTACTCATGGAGGCTGATGAGGAGCCCTGGAGAAAGATAAGCTGAACAATGAGAGCAGGAGGTACCTCTTCTGCTCCTCTGGAAATCCTAGAGAGCAACATAAAAAGGTTACAGCCGACCCGTAACTGAGCCGCCACTCATTGGTGCATTAGGTTAGTAACAGGTTCAGCCTCGGTGTTATATTGGGGGGTAAAACTAGATAAGCAAGTCAGGTGGTCAGAAAATACTTAGTATATGCCAAAATATATAACATTGGTAGGATGTGTCTATAATCCTAGCACTTGGAGTTTGACACAGTGCAAACTTGTGTCCAGGAACAGCCTGGGCTACACAGAGAGACCCTGTCTGAAAAAAAGCAAAACTTGTCCTCTCAAGATAGCTCTATCCTGGAAGAAGAGAACCAAATTTCTGGAAATTCTCCTTTGACTTCCATATGTATACATGGCACATTACGCAAACCATATACACATACAAAATAAATGATATTTTTATTTGGGACATGGTTGCTACATAGCCCTGGCTATCCTGGAACTCACTATGTAGACCACACTGCCCTCAAACTTAGATCCACCTGTCTCTGCCTCTAAGGCTGGAATTAAAGGCCTGTGTGCCACCATGCCTGGCATTTTTTTTTTTTAAATGCAGATAAAATATAGGCCAATGAGACTTTATTTGCATCATTTTAGCACCTGTTAAGTTGGTACCATTCCATCCGCACTGCCCCTCTTCAGCTTCTGAGGTGGGAAGAGATGGATGCAGAAGACCACCCATAGAGACTCCTCTTCATTGTAAATTCTTATCATTCCTTCAGATTTATGTCTGAAGCTCTCTGTAGCATTTCCAAACCTAGACCTTTGACCAGACCTAGACCAGAAAAAGACCTGGAATTGGGAACTGTGGGTAGTCACTGAGTCTCCACCTAATTAAGTGTCCATCTTACCTTCGGGAAGCCTAGTCACATAGTCATGGGACCAGGGCAAAGTGAAAACGCCAGGTCCCTACTCGTAAGACAAGAAAAATGCTAGTAAAGATACTAGAATGCAAAGCTTGTGTTTTAAATATTTAACTGGAAATATAATAGTGACATATAATAAATAACAAAACTATAAATTATAAAAAATAACATTTTGTGTTGTAATTTGGTAGAAAACAGTACCCTGATTCATTCTTAGTATTTATGTTTTACTCTGCTAGTGTGACTAACCTGGAAGGGGAACACAGTGATTAGGTTGTGGATCTCAGCCAGTTCTGGAGGAAGATGCTGTGAGGGTACAGTAGCCTGCCTCCCTTTCAGGGGTTTCCTCCTGTCCTCTCATTCCCACTCTGTTCAGGGGCTGACACTGACCTGGAGCCTGAGTGCTGGGGTTACAGATACACACTGCCAATCTCGGCTGAGTGATTGCTTCTTATACTATGAGAAGCTCTCACTGCTTCTGGCTCTGAGAGGAAGTACATAGTAATTAAGAAATCCCCCTGTCCTACATGGTGGTGTACACTGTTAATTCTGACACTCGGGGCAGAGACAGCTGAATTTCTATGACTTCAAGGCTATCCTGTACAAGTTATAGGCAAACTAAGGCTATATGATGAGACCATATTTTTTTAAGCAAAATTTAATTTTAAGGTAAATAGATCAAAAATTTATCCTAAGAGAGTTACAGGTCATTAGGAATGATATAGTGTCTAAATTTAGGGTGACTTCACTCTGACTTCAAGCCACCTACCTCATTGTGCCAGGTGGCAAGCTTGTGGTATTTAGGCACCTAGGTAGGGGTGTTACACATCCTGCAGCTAGTAAGAGCTCTGCTATCTGTGGGGTTAGAGGAGCCTCGGGCATTTTATCCCTTAGGTAAAACCACCCAAATCCCAAAGGAGCCAGGCATGGACATATGCCCCCTCAGAAGCCTTTTGATTAGTAAACTGAAGGAAGTTTTCAGTGAAATGTTCTTAGAATTAGGGTGTTATGTTTCTTAGGTTCAATGTCAGTTCCAATCTGACCTTAACAATAACTGTGCTAATCAGTTATAGTTTGTCTATATGTAGTATTTTAAGTGATTATGATTTTTGAAGTACGTACTTAACATATATAAATATAATTTTAAGTGTAACAAAGCACAATTTTAACGTTTTTAATTATTTTATTTTTTGAAGTAGAGTCTAATTATGCAGCCCTTGAACTCATCTTGGTCCTCCTGCCTTGCTTCTATTGAACATATGGACTACCATGCCTCCTCTACCTGATTTCTCTATATGGAAAAGAGCTAAGTGTGGAGCCATGGTTTTTCTGTGTCTTGAAATGTGTTGGCCTATCTGTGTGTCCAGGTCTTTCCTGTGGTGCTGCAGCCATTACAGTGCATCTGACAGCATGAGCTGGTGGAGCTGGTGGATCAGGCTGGGTGGACGTCTGGTTACTGCTGATATCCAGCAGTCTAGAATGGCAGCGACAGATATCCTAGGTCATAACTCTAGCATCCTTATCAGAGAGCTTTCTGTTCCCCTGGCAACCACCACTCTGTTTCTGTAAAATGGCTTGAGCAGCTTACCTGGTGTCCTACAGAGAGGGTGTGAAAGTATCTGGTTACATAACCAGTTCATTGATGCATTCTCAAGCATCCTTTATTGTGGAATCATACTTAAAAAATAATTCAGATTCTGTCTTAACTGCTGAGCCATCTCTCCAGCTGATAATTTGGATTCTTTATGACTTGATTTGTTCCAGTTTGAATAGTTGATTCAGGACTACAGACTGCAGCTCAGTGGCTTTAGACTTTAGCAGAGATCTGTAGTAAAGCTGGTAAGGTCTAATTTCTGTTCAGCGAGGAAGGTTTCACAGCAGTTCAGCAGGTGGCACTCTCTGCTATGCTTAAACGACAGCTGGGATGACCATCGTGTAGAGGGGAGAGATGGGGATGAATAAAACAGAGCCCAGTGTTGATTATACTGCTAGAGACCACCTTGGCTTGAGGAGGAATGGAGTGATAATGATACAAGCAGTTTACTTTTGGGAAAGAAGAGAACTAGAACATTTAGCAAAGAGGCAAGTTTTACACTGTAGCTGAGAAGAATATTTTGTTGCTTTTTTAAAAAACAGGGTCTTGCGATCCCAATCTGTCCTTGAACTTGAGTTCAAACCTACCTCCTCAATCTACCTCAGTCACTTGGGATGGGATTATAGATGTGTACCACCACACCTGGATAGATTTTTTTTTTTTTTTTAAATATGCAGACCAGAAATAAGCTAGTGCACAGAAACAAGCTTTTAATACACGGCCTTTACAACAAAGAATAGGAGCCTTTAAAAATATCAGATCCCTTCTTGTGTGAAACTATGTGACATTTCAGTGTGATTCTCAGAGCCTTTTCTGGTGATTGTGATCTGGGGTTTCTCAGAAGAGCAGGTAGCTTGCTGGATTCTTGGTACATTTACATGACACCCGGAGATCAGGAGCTGCCATGTCACTCATCCTCTCATCCGCCATCTGAGGGATGTTAAGGAATGCAAAAACACATACCTCAGAACCAAGAACAAGGTGCTTTCCCCCTTCTAAACAGAGCTTTAACAATGCAGTATCAGATGTGCAGATGTTAGTAGAATCCAGACATAGTGTAAAACTTAACAGGATATTCTAGACTGTGAATAGAGCCCTGTATGATGGTATAGTTGGTGACAGAACTTGCTGTCACATAGCAGGCTAACTACACTCATCTGCAGTTGTAGAACAGAACAAACTTGTTTCCACTCTTGTGTTAGTAACTACATGGTAACTCTGTTGGCTTTTCACAGTACTTAAATAAGAGTTGTGGTTGAACTATAATCGCATTATCCCTAAGACAAATTGGATATATATTAGGAATTTATTAGCTCTGTAGTTCTTTTATTTACAGAAGCAGTCTCTCAAAAAGGATCATAAGTTCTTTGAGAACTTGACTATAACCGAAGAGAGTTGAGCCTTTCTGCTTAGTGGATTTCTCAGAGTGTTCAGTCGGTTAATCACTTGGCTTCATCAGAGCATTTAAAGGAGTAACTTCATCTGCTGATTTTATAGCCTTGGGGAAGATGCTAGTTAGTGATGAAACTTGATGTCTGTGTAAACAGACTACTCCACAGGACTGGTCTTTTCACTCTCTCATCCATTCTTACCTATCAACAAAAACCAAGGACCTATTTTGTTTGTTTTATTTTCTAAGTACACCTCTGCCAGAGAGTGTGTAGACATCAGAGGACAGCTTTCAGGAGTCACTTCTTGCCTTCTATGTTGTTAAGGTGCATTTCTCTGGTTTCTTCTGTGTGTCATGTTCTAGGCTAGTGAGCCTGTGAGTGTCCCACCACCAAGTCTTCTGTTCCTGCTTCCCATCTCACAGTGGGATTGCAGGTGTGTGGGTACTCCTACATCCGGCTTCTTCTGTGGCTTTCTGAGGTGGAACTCAGGTCACCAGGCTTGCACAACCAGCACTTTTACACCCTGAACATCTCTAGCTAGAACCTGTGCTTTGATTAAACTGGTGTCTCAATCAAAAGAATGAGAGTCAAATGTTTAAATTACCATTGGCTTTCATTTGAACTTCTTTTGATGGTAAGGTGATAATGTGTGGCAAGTGGACATACTGTCGGTTTTCATGACAAAGGAGACGATGATGAATCTGCAGTAGATCAATGATTCTCTGCAATGGCTTCCTGAGTATCATCACATGGCAAGACCACTTACCTTCAGTGACTCAATAATGCATGGCCACTTTTCAAACTTAATTTTCCTCCAGGTCAAATGATGAAGCATTTAGCTTGGCTGACGAAACCTGTAGTTCTAATCCAGCCATAGTTAGAAGGAAGAAAATTGCCATCAGCATCATCTTTTCCTTGTGTGAGAGAGAAGCGGCACAGCAGAACTTCCAGGACTTCTTCTTCTCCCATTTCCCCCTGTTTGAATCTCACATGAACAGGTTGAAGAGTGCCATTGAAAAGGTAAGAGACAGGGTGCAGCTCAGCAGTTAGAGCACTTACACAGTGTGTGTGTGTGTGTGTGTGTGTGTGTGTGTGTGTGTGTGTGTGTGTGTGATGTATGTGTATGTAATGGGGTACTGCTCAGGGGCAGAGCACTTACACATCATGTGTCAGGGATGGGGTACATGCAGCTCGGGCAGAGCGCTTATACAGTATATGCAAGGGATGGGGTGCAGCTCAGCGGTTAGAGCACTTATACAACGTGTGTGAGGGATGAGGTGCAGTTCAAGGGTAGAGCACTTACACAGCGTGTGTGAGGGATGAGGTGCAGTTCAAGGGTAGAGCACTTACACAGCGTGTGTGAGGGATGAGGTGCAGTTCAAGGGTAGAGCACTTACACAGCGTGTGTGAGGGATGAGGTGCAGTTCAAGGGTAGAGCACTTACACAGCGTGTGTGAGGGATGAGGTGCAGTTCAAGGGTAGAGCACTTACACAGCGTGTGTGAGGGATGAGGTGCAGTTCAAGGGTAGAGCACTTACACAGCATGTGTGAGGGATGAGGTGCAGTTCAAGGGTAGAGCACTTACACAGCGTGTGTGAGGGATGGGGTACATGCAGCTCAGCGGTTAGAGCACTTATACAGTGTGAGGGATGGGATACATGCAGCTCGGGCAGAGCGCTTGCACAGTGTGTGTGAGGGGTAGGGTGCAGTTCAAGGGTAGAGCACTTACACAGCGTGTGTGAGGGATGGGGTGCAGCTCAAGGGTTGAGCGCTTACACAGTGTGTGCAAGGCCCTGGGATCCATTCCAAGCAAACATTTAAAAAAGAAAATACAAGGTAATAAGTTTGCAACCTACTGACAAACGGGGGGAGAGATTTGTAGCCAAAGGTGGGCTTGTACATATGTGTCAGATGGCCTGCATAAGGAAGTCAAAACATACCCTGGAGTGATGATCCTTAGGATTTTTAAGGCTAGAGACCAGACATTAGTTGCTGCAGGGAAGGAAGCCACTGCTTCTTGATGAGAGGAAGCATCATTACTGTGGATGTTTTCAATTTAGTATAACACCATTGTTCATTAGTGAGCCCCAGCAGATCAGTTATAAAGGAATTTCTTCTCAGAGAGTAATTTGGCTCACTCTTCTTCCATGAAGGCCATGATCTCCTGTAGGAAGATAGCAGAATCGAGTCTCCGTGTCCAGTTTTATGTGAGCCGTCTGATGGAAGCGCTGGGAGAATTCAGGTAAAGTACAAGGCTTTGAAAATCCAGCAGGATATTATGAGCAGTAGTATTGCCAGCTGCCATAAGACTATCTCTTAGAAGAATTAGGGGACTGGCAATTTTTAGTCATTTTAATGTCTCTACCCATGAGGACAGATTAAGTAAAGTCAAACATTGAGTAACAGCACCGAGGAATCTTCACTGTGCCTGACAGTTCTTAATAGGATTAGTTTTTTTTTTTTTTTTTTTTTTGGTTTGTTGTGTTGTTAGGGTTTTTGTTCATGTTTTGTGTCTGTTTTGACATATGGTCTCACTGTGTAGTTCTGGCTGACCTAGAACTGCCTACTAGACTGAGCTGGCTTCAAACTCATAGAGATCCACCTGCCTCTGTCTCCTGTGTGCTGCAATTAAGGCATGCATTAATTACCGTGCCTGGATTAATGGAATTGTTTCATCAGAATGAAGTTAGTGGTTCCATGTCTTATGTCTGTTGTCTCATAAATGCTGAAGGCAAAGCCTTTTTACTCTTTAGAGATGTTGAAACTTGGGTTCAGGAATGCTTCTTGTGCTCCAGAGCTCAATGAGAAAATGTGTGCATGTCATGGAGACCTAGCTCTCATCTGCCAGGGCAGATCTAGTACACTTGATGTGCCTGTGGTCCATGTCCTGGTCAGTTTCTAACTGACTGACCTCTGTCTCCACTAATCATCTATGGACACTGGTTTTCTATAGCTCCTGCTCCCAGAGTGTAGGGAGCAAGGTAGTCTGCTTCAGGTATTGGGTTTTCTCCCACTGTGCTCACTCATCTGAGTTTCTTAGAGCCAGCCTCTCAGTGGGGAATACAATCTCACTGCAAAGCCGCTAATGAGTAAATGATCCGAATAGATGAGGGGTTTAAAAAAAAAAATTACATTTCCTAGAATGTTAGAGCATTTTTTGCTGGTGAGCTCAGTGCTGCTTGAAGCAAATTGCTACCTTTTGTGAACTCCTGCTATAGAGAAACTGTCGAGGTTGTTTCATTTTTTGAGAAGTGCCATGAAGATGATGAGTAAGCTGTCTCTCCTTGGAGGGCCAGCACTAGGTTTGCATATGGCTTCGCTGTGGCTACACTTAAAGCTGACTTGTGCTGGAGGGTCTGGATGCTAATCTAATCAAAGCACTACTCTTTAGGGGTGAAAACCTGAAAATAAAAAGTCAGATGTTGTATACACTGAAGAGTCTTACACTTATTTTGACAGTGAAACCTCCAGAAACAGACAAAATAATGTACTAATATTTAGAGACATGAAGGTTTTGCTTGTTTGTTTTTGTGTTGTTTTTAAGATAGGTTCTAACTGTGTAGCTCTGTTTGTCCTGGAACTCACTATGTAGATCTGGCTGGCCTTGAACTCACAAGGATTCACCTGCCTTTGCCTCCTGAGTTCTGGGATTAAAGTTATGTACCACTATGTCCGGCTTGAGACATGATCCAACTACTGTAGTCATCTTCACTGCCTTATTTTAAAGATATGCTTTTAATTGAAATAGAATTATGTCACTTTCCACCTTTCTCTCAGGTACCCTCCTTATAGCCCCTCCCATGTCTTTTCCCCACTCCTACACTCTTTAAGTTGACACTCTTTGATTATTAATGATATATTATTTGTATGCACAAGTATGTGAACACAACTTGCTGAGTCTGTTTTTGTGTAACAACTTTCAGGGATGGCCACTCTGCATTGGACAAACAGTAAGGATGTTCATCACTAAAGATGCTAATTCTCTGCCCAGCAGTCATTAGCTGCCTACTGTTCTTAGGCTTAGAACTTAGAGACATTTTCTCTGTTCGGTATTATCATGTCTATATTTATTGCCATTGTTCTGGACTTGTTTGTTTAGCCATTTCTAGGAGTGACTAGTTCACTGAGGACATACTCTGGCTCTTGCAGTCTTTCCGACCCCTTTCCATAATGTTTCCCAGAGCCATAGGTGCAGAGCTGTGATGTAGATTATCCACTAGGGCTTGCTCCCTACCATCTGTTCATCTCTATGCTGTCTCCAATTGTAGAGTCACCCTGTTCCCTTCAGGGTTTCTTTGTGTAGCTCTGTAGACCAGGCTAACCTCGAACTCACAGAGATCCATCCGCCCACCCCCACCCCCCATTAAAGACATGCACCATCACTGCCTGCCCTGAGTCACAGCTTCTTAACTAAGTAGTTTTTGAGGTGTGAAGTTTTTTTTTGTTTGTTTTCTGTTCTTGCAAAGGTAGATTTGTGCTCTGTCCTGATTCCTTTAGGCACGCGGCTACATAGTATGCTGCTTCCTCTGTTTTGATTTGAGAGAAGTTTGTGTTACTCCTTTAGGGCTGGATTGACTTAAGGGCCTAAGTAAGTTTTTACACTCTGGAAAAACACACGTGAGCCATGTAGCTTATAGCAGAGCCTGCCATGCCTGAATTCCCATCCTGACCTTGCCATTAAATGTGTATATATCTGTGCCCATTACTCAGTCTCTCTCTAAGCTTCTGCATTCAAAGTTGGCATATATTACAGTGAAAAAGAAGAACCATTGTGCTAAAACAAGTTGGGTGATTTAGCAAGCCAGAACATTAATTAGAAACCAGTAAAGTTGAGTCTCCTAACAGTGTCATTTTCAGTGTAGCATGTGCTTTCTTTGTCCTTTGTATTTTTGTTGTTGTTGTTTGATTTTTCAAGACAGGGTTTCTCGGTAGCTTTGGATCCTGTCCTGGAACTCACTTTATAGATCTGGCTGGCTTTGAACTCAGAGATCCTCCTGCCTCTGCCTCCCAAGTACTGAGATTAAAGATATGTACCACCACCTCCCGACTGTCCTGCTTATTTTTATGCCCTGCCCTAACCTTATTGTAGATAGTCTTACTATGTAGATACTCCTACTATGTAGATAGTCTGACTATGTAGCTGTGGCCGCCTCACATTCTTAGTTCTCTGGCCTATGTCTCTTTAAGTGCTAGGATTATTGGTATGCCCAGTTCTTGATCTGCATTTCTTTATTGTAAGAATGCTTCGTGGAGCTGGGAATATAACTCAGTGAAAGAGTGCTTGTCTAGCATGCAAAAAGACCAGGATGTGATTCTTAGTATCACAAAAACAAGTAGTATCGAAAAATGACTGTATTCTGCCCTACAATCCTTACAGTTTTTTAAAGTTTTTATATATAGGATCTCTCTCTCTCTCTCTCTCTCTCTCTCTCTCTCTCTCTCTCTCTGTGTGTGTGTGTGTGTGTGTGTGTGTGTGTGTGTGTGTGTGTGTGTGCGCGCGCATGCTATATCCTGTATTTGCTTTTTCGAGGCAGGGTTTTTCTGGCTTTGTTGGAGGCTGGCCTGGAACTAGCTCTTGTAGACCAGGCTGGTCTTGAACTCACAGAGATCCACCTACCTCTGCCTCCAGTGTGCTGGGAGTAAAGGTGTGTGCTACCAATGCCCTGCTCTTAAAAAATATTTTTAAAATGAATATAAATTTTGGGAGGACATTATGAATTTTTTTTTAAATCTTAAAAAAAATTTTGTGTGTGTGTGTGTAGTTCTTGGGATCAAGCCCAGAACTGTGTGTATTATAGACAGGGACTATATCACTGAGCCACATCTCCATACATTGTTTTCTAAATGAGTGTTTTCTATGTAAGGGATGGTGTGCTTTTCTTTTAAGGGTTTCTATACCACTACTTAACTTTGCTATTGTCCTGCAGAAGCACTCATAGATAATGTGTAATTAAACGAGCATCCATTCATGTGTCCCAATAAAACTTTACTTTACTTACAAAAACTATAGTGATCAGATTTGTGTGAGCCATAGCTTGCCGCCCGTGTTAATTTATTTATTTTTAATCCCTTAAGGAGTACATATGTCCAAATTACAGTATTTGGCTTTATTCTTTGATACTAAGATATTCAAAATAACTGACAGTTTGTCCCTTCTCTCTTCCTGTAGAGGAACTATCTGGAACTTGTATTCGGTTCCAAGGATAGCTGAACCAGTATGGCTTACCATGATGTCCAGCACGTTGGAAAAAAACCAGCTCTGCCAGCGCTTTCTCAAGGAGTTTATACTTCTGATTGAGCAAGTCAACAAAAACCAGTAAGCATAACCCCAGTGAGACTTCTAGGCAAACCTTGAGCCAGTATGTATTCTGCACAGGGCATGGCCTTGTCCTGTATTTGACTAATTCAGGTGTGCTTTTGTCCATTTTCTCAAGGTTTTTTGCTGCCTTGCTGACTGCGGTGTTAACCTATCACTTGGCCTGGGTACCAACTGTCATGCCTGTTGATCACCCTCCGATTAAAGCCTTCTCGGAGAAACGTACCTCTCAGTCAGTGAACATGCTGGCCAAAACACATCCATATAATCCTCTCTGGGCACAGCTGGGTTAGTACCTCATTTGACTGTTCAGAGAATATATCTGATGAAATGTGGTGTTTGTGTGTGTGTGTGTTTTGGGGGGGGAGGTGTTCTGGAAATTATAGCTTGTGCTGACTTTCCAACCCTGTCATTCAAGGATTATCTCTTGCAAGAATGAGACGGGGCTACAGATTCAAATTAATAGGCTGCTACCCTCATTCCTTCCCCTTACCAGTAGCTTTGTTTTGCTCTTTTGAGACAGTGTAGGCAAACTGAGTTCTCTATTTCATGGAGGCTATTCACCCTGTCATGGTTTCCCTAACTATTCTTTTGACCAGATAATTCTTTTGTGGTTGAGTTGTGATGCAGCAGGGGAGGGCTGCCTTACATCTTACAGGTTGTTTAGCAATACTTCTGACCTTCATTCACTAGATCCCAGTACAGCTGCTCTCTGCCCAAAGTCATAACCATCAATATGTCTTCAAACATTGCCAAACTTCCCTGGGAAGAGGGGTAACCAAAGGAACTGGAATGAGAACCACTGCCTGTAGGATGGTGTGGCTCGGGGAAGAGAAGACCAGGGGAAAGCACCACACTCCAATCTCAACATCTTCCTGACTACACCGTGCATCCGATGTCTTCTCTGTCACTTGGTCCTTGCAGTTGATGGCATTACTTCTTCAATCCATGCGTGTAGGAATGGTGTAGGAATCTAGCACATCGTAGGTGAGGCTGGTGTTACATACCTGGACTCATTCTAAGTGAGCATTAGAGTGACAAGGTATGATGACATTGCATTCTGTCCTGCCAGTGCGCTGGAACTCAGAGTCAAGTCACAGCCACTCCGGCCTCAGTAGTCAGCTGCCTGGTGGACAAGGCTGATCAAGCCGTGATCAGTTCACTTGAGAACATTGTAGTGCTTGGAGAAGAGTGTGCAAGGGATGTGGGAGTGAAGGTGTCCTGGGCATGGATATGGGGCCAGAAGCTTGTTCTTGGTTCCTTTCTGCTGGCATTCACTTAGCTTTCCTGTGCCTCTCCCTTCTGTGTGTTAATGATAGTACCCGGGGCCTCGTATATGTGCCTAAGCAAGCACTCTGCACATGTCAGAAGGATTGGGGTAAGGACTCAGTTGCACGAAGCACCTTTGCTCTGCATGCTGTTAACTGAAACATGCATTGCAGGGCATTTATAGAGGGAGAAAGGGGATGAATGACGTTTTCCAGGAAGGCTTACTTGAGGGAATCTCCAAATGGTAATTTAGGAAAAGCAGTGGGCTGGGGAAAGCACTCTAGTCCTAGAAAGCAGGTGTTTCAGTAACTGAAACAAAAGCTGACGCCGTGACACAAGCCGTGCTGTTAGTACCTTATACACATACTAATTGGCGAGATTCTCACCCGTACCTGTTACCGGTGTCCTTTTTTATAGCAGTAAAAATGCTTTCTTGTTCTTACGCCCATGAGACACAAAAGAAGATACAAGTCTCACAGGGTAAGTAATAGGTATGTTTTTAATGAATTAACTAAAGAATTCGTAGAGAGTAAAACCATGTTAGACTGGGAATGACCGAACATGACTTATCCCTGGACTTGAGAGGCTGAGGCAGGAGGATTATGAGGTTTAAGCCAGTCTGGGCTATTTAACCAAGGTGTTGTTCCCCCCCCCCCCAAAAAAAAAAAAGGCACAGTGCTTTACATTTTGAAGCTTGGTAAAAGGAACAGTTCAAAACTTGTCACCTTGTTCAGGGTTGAGTACTGGCTCTTCTTGAGGACGTGTATTTCGCTGTTCTCAAGGGAAGACATACTTTTCAAAGTGCAGTATTTACTTCTCAGGGGGATTGGGCTGTATATTAAGGAAATACAGTGGTCTTGCTTCTCAGTCGACTTTCAAACAGTGGTAATTAAACCGCATGCATTTAATTAGATAAATGCATTCAAACTCAGGAGTACTTCTCCTGGGGGACTGAGCTGACTGGGAGCCACTGATTCCTTGTGTTCATCAGAACAAGGCAAAAGCCCCTGCTTGTAGGCTTGTTCATTGCTTGTCACTGGAGAGACATGCCACTGAAGGTTGTCTTCCTGAGAAGAGTCCTTCCAAGTTCTGGTGTTGATTGGAGTGGTTTAGGAGGGAATGAAGCCTTGCATAGGGAATGCATCTGACAGCTTTGTAGAGATAAGTGTGAGCGATGAGGTCTCCATTATCACAAATGATGAAGACATTTCCATGATTAGTCAGAGGATGCACTTAAATTACAGTTGCTTTCTGTGTGTCACAGTAGGCAGAAAAAGGTAAGCTCTGGGGACTAAAGAGCGATGGAGATGTGATTGTAGTCTAGTTTCCTGAGTAATAAAGACACTCTATCTTGAATGACTTCAATGTCTTACTGAGAACTCATCAGGACAGTGTACACTTCTCATCTCACCCATGTGGTTTCTCAGCCACTGTCTCTTCACACTCAAGGACTTGCTCTGCAGAGCACAGTGATCTGCTGCCTTTGTCCCTGTGGGCACCATGCACAGGGTTTCCACATTCGGGATCCTTTCCACCAGTGGCCTGTGGAAGCCATTTACGTGTTAGAAAAGCATTTAAACAGGATAGTAGGATAGAAACAGAACAACTCACACAGATGTTCTGTAAAATGTGAGTTTTAGGATGTGGTGTCTCAGCATAGACTGTACTGTAGGTGAGAACCGTACACTTAAGCTGCGAGCAGGATTCTCTCCTGCTACCTTTTTGCCTTAGGTTTTGACAGTTCAGCTATAGTATGTCTACTGTTATTTGTACATGGAGTTTTCTGCTTGGAACTCATTGATGTTGAATGTCTGTACATTCATGTTTGTCATTCATGAAGTTTAGGTTTTTGGGAATCCTTGTTTTGAAAATTCTGCTCTAGCCAGTCTCCCTGCCTCCTCTCCCTAGAATCCCTACTGTATGCATATCACAGTGCTTGATGAGGCCCACAGGCATCTGGACTGTGTACATCTTTCTCCGTTCTTTTTATTTCTTCTCCTTAGAATGGGTATTCCTACTTGACCTGTTTTCAGACATCTCTTTTTCTTCACTTTGATAAGATGTGCTCTTCATCGGGGACTAAGGATTAAATGACCAGTGGGCTAGGCTGTCTGTCACAAACATGTATTCAAGACCCTTGTAAGACTTTTCATTTTACAGACAAGGAAACTAAGTCTTTAGGAGGGTTGGAGTGAAACTTCTTGTAAGTTTAAGATCATTGCCCTTTGTGTGCAGCGATTATTTTCTGCCAAAAAAAAAAGTAATAAATACTTGTAAATCTAATCCAAGAAGAAAGTATACATCTTCCGCTTCCCCTTCTCCCTATAGAAAATATTGCCCACCTTGATTTAGATATTAACCATTCTCTAGTTTTACTTCTCATGACTTAATTCAGCAGTGTGTGTGCATGCATACATGTGTACATACACATGTACATAGTATAGATGTGTTGCAGGTGCAATGACCCTGTCAGGTGTCTTCTTCTGTTACTCTCTACCTTGTTCCCTAGAGCAGGAGTTTTGACACTGAACCTGGAGCTCTCTGTGGCCCAGCAGTTGGGGTACAGACACGAGTGGCTATACCTGGCTTATTATGTGGATGCTGGGAAATGCAGCTAGGTCCTCAGGTTTGTAAGCACTTTTGCTGAGTACCCTAGCCCAGCACTTCCTTGCCCAGCCCTTAGCAACCTGTCTTCCCTCTTTATCTATTTCATTTACAAATATAACCTCTTTTTTTAAAGGACTCCCAATTTTTCACTTTTTTGGGGGGAGAAGATTTTGAGCCCTTCCCCTGAGTAAGGAACTTCTGGCTTCTTTTCTAGTTTTGCTCCTGTGTATTAGCTACAGGAATAACCTTTTTTGACCTGTGCAGCTTTTTCTGTGTACTTTTTTTACATGAAAAAAATCATAGATCCTGCTGCTCCACTGCTTAGAGAATTAATTTAAAAATATGTATCAAAATACAAGCCATCTGGTAACCTTTTTAGATCTATGTATTTCGGGGGACAGGGTGGGAAGTGTTGCTCCTTTGTTTTGTACTGTGTAACCCAGTCTGGCCAGGAACTCGTGATCCCTTGTCTCAGCTTCCTTAGTAACTAGGATGATAGATAGGCCCACACCACTAGTGTGGTCTGAGGGCCTATGATCCTAGTAGTAGCAGCATTGAGGCCACAGAACCACCTATGAGCCCTGAGGCGACTGTGATACCCTGAAGTGTGGGGAGCCAGGATCAGAAGGAAGGCGTGACATGAGCTCATGGTCAGGGCAGTTTTCTCAGACCAAACCATAGCATCTCACCATACTTCTGAGCTCAGACTCTGAAGTCTAGGGTGACTTCTTAGATGCTGAAGTCTTTTTACAGGGAAGTTGTGTATTATTATTTCTGTCCTGTCCTTTAAATGTTCTTGGAGGCTGTACACTAGGGAAAACTCTCCCAAGGACACACTTCCTTATGGTTCCCTAGAGAGAACTTCCTGTCCATTCTCACAATGTTTCTCTCAGCCTCAGCCTACTAATTTTAGTTTTCTCTAACCTGTGGCTTCCTGCCTCTCACTGCGGATGCATTCCTCAGCAGAGTCCTGACTTCCCACAGTCTTCTTTGTAACTGTCACTGACGCCTCTGTTTATATGTAACACCCCTTACATGATGGCTCTCAACGTTCTGTTCAGTTGTTTCCTCCCTCCCAATGCTTGGTTGTATAAAGATGTAATCTTTAAGTGCCTACCCATCTAGTAGACGTTGGTTGTCTTGTCTTATTAGCAAACATAATGAAATGACCAAGCTTGATGAGTTAGTAGTTAGGTAACGAGTGCCTTTTAAAAATGTGTTCTTTGGGAGTTTTGCATGTTTTGCTCATAGTCACCTTCCCTCTTCCAGCTCTTCCCAGATCCACTCCGCTACCCACCTAACTTCTTAAACTTAATTTTTTAAAAGCCCATCAAGACCAATTTGTGTTGCCCAAATATTCTTGGGTGTGTGGCCTTGGGCCTGGAGTATGGGCGACTTACCCAGACAATACATGGAGAAAACTGTCTCTCCTTTTCCCAGAAGCTAACTGTTGCCCATAGCTTCTTACCTATGGGATTTTTATGCCCAGCTCCCATCTCCATGCTGGAATTTGGTGTGTCTTGTGTTTGAACAAGTTTTGTGCATGTTGTTAGACTGTTGTGAGTTCAAATAAGCAGCTGCCTGCCCTGCTGTTTCTTTATAGTCACTCACTGCCTCTGGCTCTTAGATTCCTTCTGTTTCCTCTTCTGCAAAGATCTGTAAGAAGGGGGATGGGAGGGTGGTATAGTATGTGTGTTTTGTTTAGGGCTGAGGATTTTGCAGTCTCTCAGCCAGTTGTAGGTCCCTATGCTAATCACCACCTACTGTAAATAGAAGCTTCTCAGACGAAGTTTGAGAGATGCATTGGTCTATGGGTATGCAGTAAGTCATTAGACATTCTGTTTCCATTTAGCAGAATCATACTAGTAGGCTCTCCCCAAAGTCCATGACCTGTCCAACCATATGTTCTTGGCATGATAATTGTGCTGGATATGGATTTCATTCTGTGGAGCAGGATTTAAATCCAAGCAAAAAAATAATTAGTTACCCCTGTGATGTTCTTGCCGCCATTGCACGGGTGGGCATATCTTATCAAGCCAGGTGTTACTGCAGCTCACAGGGTTCATAGGTGGATATGATTGGTAATACCTGCCCCCCCACTCCCCCCCAGCAGCTTATACAACACCTTCAAGCACTGTGAGGCTAGCCAGTAGGGATGTAGCCTTCAGGTAGGCACCTGCTTGCTTTCTCTATGTGGTATCTTCAGCAATAAGTCTTAGTGTAACTAAGAGCATTGGCAACGTATGGGGATCTATAGGATCTCATCAGCCAACAACTCCAAAAGAAACAACCCATTCCTGGCTCTGATTTTTATTGATAGCTTGTAGCATCTAATAGGAACTTTGTTGCCCTGTTATAGGTAACTCCATTTTAAAGTAGGGGTGTGTGTGTGTGTGTGTGTGTGTGTCTGTCTGTCTGTCTGTCTATCTGTCTGTCTTTTTTTTTTTTTTTTTTTTTTTTTTTTTTGAGACAGGGTTTCTCTGTAGCTTTGGAGGCTGTTCTAGAACTCACTCAGTAGACCAGGCTGGCCTCAAACTCAACAAGAGATCCATCCACCTGTCTCTGCTTCCTCAGTGCTGGGATTAAAGGTGTACACCACCATTGCCCAGCTCCATATGGCTTTCTTAAAAATATATCCTTAGTTATCTTTCTCCATACTCCCTCCTCTACCCTCCCCCATGTTCCCCCACCCCCAATTTAATCCTTCCTGTTCCATTCCTTTTCTTAAGCCTTTATATATCAGTGTGTTCTATGATAGAATGCACTGGTCATGAGCACTGTTGAAGTGCTCTGTCATCTTCCACTCTTCACAGTGAACACAAACTGGCTCATCAGCCCGTTAACCAACTCACCAGAATATAACTAAGAAGACATATTTTGTGTCCTGCAGACCTTTTGTATGATATGATGTAAAGAATATTTACAGAGTTTTTACTCATGAGTAGGTAATTTTTTTATAAATCAAACTGAATCTACTTAGAGTAAATCCGTGATCTGAGAGAATCCTACACACAATACCTCACTAAGTAATTTTAATCCACTTACTTCATATCAATTTGGAAGTTCTTGAGTTTGCGTGTTACACTAAGACGGCTTACCATCTTAGGACTCGACTCTATTTTTAGTTATGTACTTCTGTTTCTTTGTCTATCAGGGTTATGTATATGAGTTCAGGTGTCTGAGGAGATCAGAAAGTGGCCTGCCCAGAATCCACTTTTGAGAAGCCTTGCCCATTGAGGATGTGGGTGCTGGAAGTTGAACTTAGGTCCTTAACAGGCACAGCATATGCTCTAACCATTGAGCCTTCTCTCCCCATAGCCACCATGATGTATTCCCTACTGTATTCTTCTAAGAAATTCTTTTTGGTTTTTGGGTACTAGAGTTTCTCTGTGTAGCTTTGGAGCCTATCCTAGCACTTGCTCTGTAAATCAGGCTGGCCTCGAGATCTAACTGCCTCTGCCTCCCAAGTGCTGGGATTAAAGGCATGTGCCACCACCACCCAGCATAGAAATTCTTATAATTTGCAAGATAATCTCTGTACTAGATCTTGTCATCAATGCAGAACAATGATTTCACCTTCTCCTGGGCCAGCATGCAACCACCAGAGCCTAGGAAGAGGTTTGTGTGTCCAGCAGCCCTGCCACTGTATCCTGCTGTGCTCAGCTGGATGCTAGGCTGCAGCCAGTTAGTCCTCCCCTTCCAGACCTGCTATACAGTGTCAGGGCAACTGGAGCATGGTCATTCCTAGAAATTTTATATCTGGTGCCTCAAGAACTCATTGTAGGCTGGGAATCAAGTAACCAGCTTTGTTCTTGTAGTGGGAGGATGTTCCATATGCACTAACACTGGGGGACTTTGTCTTCTGTCCATCTTTGCCCTGTAGGTGATCTTTATGGAGCTATAGGCTCTCCGGTGAGGCTGACCCGCACTGTGGTGATTGGGAAGCAGAAGGATTTGGTCCAGCGCATCCTTTACGTTCTGACCTACTTTCTCCGTTGCTCTGAACTCCAAGAGAATCAGCTGACCTGGAGTGGGAATCAAAGTGAGGATGACCAGGATATAAATGGGAGCAAGATTGTGACAGCGTTGGAAAAGGGAGAGGTGGAAGAGTCTGAGTATGTGGTAGTTACAGTGAAAAACGAGCCTGCTCTTGTCCCGCCGATCCTCCAATCAGTGACAACAGAGAGAAGGAGCCCAGAGCCTGCTGGAGTAGTTGAGCTCCCGGAGGGCATAAATACCAGTCACACACCTGACAAAAACAGATGCCAGAAACCAGAGCAGAATTCTGAAGCCAGTAGTGTGGGGTTCCAGGGGGCAGAACCTGACAGTACGTGGACACCTCAAGGTGTATTCTGTGAGGACAACCAGAATGACCAAGAGGCACCCCAAGATGGCTCTTCAAGACCTCCTAGCTGTGATGTCCCCAGGGTAAGAGTAAGGATGGACCCTCAAGCTGTCCATGAGGAGCTGCACGGGGAGATGCTAAAGAAAGCAGCTGATAGGTCAGCAGCCTGGCCCTGCCCTGACAGACATTGCCAGGAGGGTTCTCCTATTGAAAAGGTTACATTCCACATTGGAAGCTCCATCTCTCCAGAGTCTGACTTTGAAAGCCGCACCAAAAAAATGGAGGACAGGTTAAAGACCTGTGGTCAATTCCGTGGGACTAGTGCCTCTGCCAGGCCTAGCATGGACACTGGCCTGACTCAAGACCAGCAGGGCTCTAGGTGTTCTTCCAAAGCTGACTTTCAAAGGGACCTCGCCCTTCCTCAGGACCAGTCCTCAGGGGGAGAAGGTGTCTCTGAGGGCAGAGGCCACCAAGCCAATGTTATGGCATGTGCTGTGGGACAACTTAGTCAAGCTCATGACCCCCTTGCACCTTCCAGCTTTGCAGCCGGCAGTGGCCAGAGACCACTGGAACATACTGGAGACTTGCAATCAAAAGGCAAGGAAAGACTTTCATCACAGCCTGTAAGAACATGTAGACAGCAGGGTGGCCTGCTGGGTGCTGCAGATGTCCCCTATGGGGACGCCAGTGGTAAGGCCTGCTTCAGGATCGAAGGAGACATTCCCAGGAATGAAAGCTTGGATAGTGCTCTTGGAGACAGTGATGATGAAGCATGTGCTTTAGCCCTGCTAGATCTGGGTCACAGTTGTGAGAGGACTGAAGAAGGGTCCTTGGAAGTGGAACTCCCTCTGCCAAGGTAATCCTGCACAGGGCACTGGAGTCTGTTCCCAGCCTGGTGTTATGAAAATGGTAGCTACCCATGGCTGCTTTATACATTTTTTTTTTTTTAAACAGTAAACTTATCACCACTTACCTTCCAGGGGTTTCCAGCCTGTGTAATCACCAGGGATACGGTCTTTGTGCAGCTGTGTTCTTGGATAGAGGACTAGTTGTCTTTGCAGCTCTTGAGACATTGGGGGTGTGGGGGTGAAGGGCCACAGCAGTCATGGTAGCAAGGAGGAGGAGTTCCACCTGGTGGTGTATGTGCATAATTTGTACAATTGGCTTGGGTTCTAAGGTGACAGGTCACACGTACCTCAAGGGTTCCCCTGCCACACGTACTCTTCCTTAGCACTCCATCAGGTTGGTTCTTGGCCTATGATGACCGAAAGTTGCAATTAAAGGATCCTTCTTCACCATGGTCAGATTCGTAAAGCCACACTTCAGGCACTGTGGTCACTAGCCTCCTCTTTCATTCTTCTGACATTTGGGTGGATTTTCCCCATGGGGTATAAGAACAGATCCCTTGGTTTGTTTGTTTGTTTGTTTTTTAAAGACAAAGTCACACTATGTAGCCTAGGCTGGCCTTACACTGAGAACATGTACCTCCACATCTGGCTAAGAATGAAGTTTTAACTAGCCATGGAAATAGTATATATTTTTTCCAGGCTTCCATTTTAATAAAAATACTCCCTTTCCTCCCCAATCCTCTCTTCTCTTACACTCATGATCTCCTTATAGACTCTGATGTGAGCTATAGGAAATTATTAGGTTTCTCCCACTGGGACACAACAGCTGAGTACTTTTAACTGTGTGTTTAATAGTTCAAATGTTGTTTTAGGTCTCAGAGCACCAGCAAGCCAAACGTTAGAAATTTTGGCCGCTCCCTTCTGGCGGGTTACTGCGCTACGTATATGCCCGATTTGGTGCTTCATGGGATCAGCAGCGATGAGAAGCTGAAGCAGTGTCTGGCAGCTGATCTGGCCCACACGGTGCATGTAAGTGAGCCCAGTGCAGAGCCACTGGATGGCCAACAGCAGGGTTTCCAGTTAATGCTGAAAGCATCTGTGTAAAGGATGACAGAGTGACATGACAAACAGTGAAGTGTAATTAAGAGTCCAGGGTCTGTGACCATACCTGGCCAGACTCAACAAAGGGAAAGCAGGTAGTAGCAGAACTGCAGAGTCCTGGTGCAGGAAGAGGAACTGCTTGTCTAGGGACAGTGAGGAAGGTGGGCCATCTGGCTGCTAGATTTCTCCTTCACCCTCTGATCTCTTCTGTAAGAGACCAGAGAGCAAGGGCACAGCTAAGGCAGATACTTCCCATTTTCCATAGAGGTCAGCCTCCTAGGGCCAGAACAGGACGGATAGATTAGAGCAAAGCAGCTATGGACTGGCCTGGCAAACATGAATGGCACAAACAGTAAGTGACAATTACATGCCTTCAGAAGGGAGGCCAGAGAGTTGTATGGCTTGCTTATTATTCAAACCTTGCAAGTTCCTAAAAGCAATTTCTTAACTGATTTGTCATTGAGCTCACTTTGATAGCTGGGAGGAGATGGCTGCAGAAAGATTTGCAGGTATTCCTGGAAAATTGCCTGTAACTACTGCTGAGTGCTTTTCTGTTATCTGCAGCATGACAGGAGCTGAACACTCATAGAAACTGTGTCAATCCGATGGACCTGTTTTTAATTGAGTTGCTAGTCAGCAGATGTGCAAGCATAGATGTTTTGCAATTAGAAACATATGGTATCTTGTGCAATAGGAAGAATCCTTGTTGCATTAAGATCACTGGAACCTGGCTTGTTATCTCATCGCACTCTCTGTTTTTTTTGGGGGGAAGACTTTTTGAAAGTAAGAAAGACACACTGTATGTTATCTTTGGCCTTGAACATCCATTCAGACACACAGCAGACACAGGCTAAGGATGTTTGTATGAAGTAGAAAGAAGGGCCCAGATGGGAAGCAGAGGTCACAATCCCACATCCCATAGAGGTTGAGAGAAAAGGCCAAGTACTTGGGCGTTGGGCAGGACCCATCCACCATACATGTGCTTGCTCAAATGTGCCAGCTCCATGCACTTTGTGATCAGACACCATCCGTCACCAGAATCGTCCTGGACTAAAACTGTATGACGTTGCTGTTATCTGTAAGTAACTCACAAAATTTTTCATACTTAACACAGATATTGTACACTTGCTCCTAATCATTTCAGAGGTTGTTCCATCCATCCATCCCGTAGCATAAGCACAGGGCCCTCATCGCATTGAATCATCTTTCTGCGCTGCCCTAAGGGTGCCTGTGCTTTTGTGTTCACTGTGTGTTGGGGCATGAATGGACCCTGTTCTTTGCGTCACTACCTCTTGCCCGTATCCATATGTACAGAACGCTTGGATGCTAGCTTTCTATGGTGCTGTTGGTTTGATTACTACAGACTTAGTTTCACTCCCTGCACCTTTTCTCTGCCAGGCCAGAGTTCTGCTTCTGACCAAGACACAGGGAACTATAGAAACTGTTGGGAATGTCCTCATTGACATTGATCTTATCATCTGTGGCACATTTTTGCCCCAAAGTGCCCAAGTTCTTTTACTAACCACTGTAGAAAAGCAACCTCCTGGTTGATGATCACCTCTAACTTATCTGTGACACACACACAACTCATGAAATTTTGGCATTTTTATAGGCCATCAGTTTTTAATTTCTGAATATTAGATTTTCATTGTGACCATCAGGCTCCATAATTCTTATATTTGAGAAAATAGTCATGTCTACACTATCATTCCTCTTAAAACTTTTCCATGTTTCTTTTTTCCTTTTAAAAGTAGTATTTTTACACTGTAGCAGCTCTTGTTTCTTTAAATCATAAAGTCATCTTGAGAAGTTGGATGTTATTAGGTATAATAACACATATATTATATGGGCATATATCTTCAAAATTTAATAACTTCATAATGTGTCTAGTTAACATTAGTGGACTTCCAATTTCACTCGACACAGTCATCATTAGTTTTGTTTTTGTTTGTTAGAAACAGAGGCTCACTTTGGCTGGCCTGGAACTTACTGTGTAGACCAGGCTGACCTTAAGCTCACAGCCTGCCTCTGCCTCCCAAGTGCTGGGATTAAAGGCATGCGCCACCACACTGGTTGTCCAGTTTGATTTTGAAAACTACCCTTCAGACTCGCACTCTGTAACAATATTTTTTGGTTTTTTAACTGTCAAGGGGACTTAACTTTCATTTACAAGTATCTGTAGAAAATAGAGATATTTTTAAAACATTGGTGAGTTATCCATTCATAAAGAACAGTGATTTTTTTTGTTTGTTTGTTTGTTTGCTTTTGTTTTTTGAGACAGGGTTTCTCAGTGTAACCTTGGCTGTCGCTCTTAGTACTCCTCTGCAGACCAGGCTGGCCCCGAACTCACAGAGATCCACCTGCCTCTGCCTCCCGGATGCTGGGATTGTAAGGCATGTGCCACCACTGCCCAGCAGGACAGTGATTTTGAAGCTGAGAACATTATCAGGAAAGGAAGCAGAGATCTGAGAGTGATGCATGGCCTGTGGGAGCTGAGAACCTGTGGGGGAGAAGTGGGGTAAATCACTTGGCACCACTTGCTTTCCCAGCCTGTTTTGGGGGGATATAAATAATGTCACTCTCACGCCAGGCTTTGAAACTCACAATTCTTTTTAAAGAAAGATTTTGAAAAATTTTTTGTTTTGTTTTTGTTGTTTGTTTTTTGAGACAGGGTTTCTTTGTATTGCTTTGGAGGCTGTCCTGGAACTAGCTCTGTAGACCAGACTGGACTCGAACTCACAGAGATATGCCTGTCTCTGCCTCCTGAGTGCTGCGATTAAAGGTGTGCACCACCAACACCCGGCTTGAATAACTTTTTTAAAGGAATTGGTGTAGGTTATTGATCTTTTTTTTTTTTTTTTTTTTTTTTTTTTTGACTTATGAATGGCTTAGATTATAAAGTCTGGCTTCATTAATGTACATTGTATAACCACAGTAGGCTAGTTTCCTTCAGAGAACAAGGGACTATCTTCTTAGAATACTCATCATCAAGAGTGTTTTACTCTGTTCTCTTAGTTGTATCAGGTACAACAACAACAAGCCTATCACTAGTCTCTTAAAAAAGAGGCTTTTACTGCCTTTCACATACTAAGATTCAGGTTTTCTCTGGCTGTTTTAATGTGTGCTCTTTTTGAGTCTGTCATTGGAACTCTTTAGCCTTCTGATACGTGTCATCCAGCTGCTATAACTTAGTCCAAAGTAGCATTGCTTCTTTATCCCCTCAACTACATGTGCACTTCCCTTTGTTTTCCTTCTCACTGTGAACGGAGAGTATGCGAATACATGAGCCAGCGCCACTGTCATCCTGTGACCCTCAAGCAGCCTTGTCTCTCTTCTGCATCCTGTCTACCAGTGAATGCTGCCTGCTGGGCAGTGTTAGCTGCTGAACTGGGGTCAGAGGCGGGCATTAGACAACATCAACAGCCCTGGCTGGATCTGAATCCTGGTGTTGCTACTCTTTAAGACTTTGAAGTGAGGCAGCTGGCAGCACTCCTCTGAGGATGATCTTAGAGGACGTGGAAATGGGGGAAAGTATAATGCAGTGGTTCAGAGTTTGCTTTCCAGGTTGGGGTGATATCTCAGTAGGAAAGTGGTTGCCGCAGGAGCATGAGGACTTGTTCAATCTCCAGAGCCCATGCTGAAAAGCTGGGTACAGTGGCATGTGTTTATATACTGGTACTGGGGAGGCAGAGGCAGGGGGGATTCCTGTAGCTCACAGCTGGCCAAGACCAGCCTCATTAGTCCTTGTGAGTGCACCTGTCTCAAGAAAACAAGGTGAACATACACAAGGAACACCACCTGAATTTGACCTCTGACCTGCATGTGACAAGTTGGACCTCCAAAGAGGCAACCTAGAGGTTTGAATCATAGCTCAACTCCTAATGGGCTTGTGGCCTTTGGGGGAAGTTTCCACTCTATAAAATAAACTGTACCGATGTCATTTGAATTTGGAAATACTATAATCCATATCAAGTGTTGAGCATAGTGCCTGGCACACTACTAAGTGTACATGCCCAGTAAATGTAAACTAATAAAACAGGAAATGTGAATGGGGTGGAGGTGGTGTACGCCTTTAATCCCAGCACTCAGGAGGCAGAGACAGGTGGATCTCTGTGAGTTCAAGGCCAGCCTGAACTACACAGTGAGTTTCAGGACAACCAGGGCTACACAGATAAACCATGTCTGGAAAAAAACAAAAACAAGATAACAGCAGACAAACAGGCAGTGAGAAAGTGCCTTGTAAGTGATAAAGTAGTACAAGATGTTGCTAACAGGTAGATAACATTATTTTAGTTGAAACAAAATTACTATCAGAGTTCAGAAAGATGTACAAGTGTCCTTAACACTCTTGTTTGGTTGTAGCATTAGTCGCTGAAAGCACCTGGCAGATATGACTGAGCTGAGTCTGAACATAAATTTGCCCTTTGTCATGTCACAAGGAACAAGCAGGCATCTCTCACTATATTAAGTTATGTCATCAGAACCAAAATTAACATCATAATTTAGCTTAAAAAACACAACAAATAGTGATGTAGGCTTCAGGCGTTTTACAGACTAATCTATAAATAATAGTTGGATATAGCAGCCTGTTCCATTTAATTTTAAGAGTAGCAACAGATTGACTCCAGAAATATCACATAGGAGTCAGTAGCACAGATAAGGAGCTTTGCTGAAAGCCTGGTTGTGATACACGCTTATGAATACTAATTAATCCATGTGGGCAACCAACCAGCTAGACTACAAAAGAACAGCCTGTCCCATCAGACAAGAAAGAAATCATTCCTTAAGTAGCACATAGTATTAAATGCACCCTGTAGCAGCAGCCTCAAAGTCAACAGATTAGAAAGGAAGCTGCTTTCCCCTTATTCAGAACACCCTGGTTGTTTCCATCTTTTTAAGCTGATGATGAATACCCTGGTAACTTGGGGTAGCCCTGCCTTCTGCAGCTATATCCCTGAATGCAACTCCACCTGGGACTAGGCCATGTGTTTAGAGGACTTTTAAGTGAAATGAGCATTGTTTATGTTGTTTCTTCTTTCTGTCAGACAACATCTTCCCATGTAGCCCAGGTGGGCCTTGATCTTGGAATTCTGTTAGCTTCCCAACTTCTTTATAAGCATGTGTCACCATTTCAGTCTCACTTGCCTTCCCCCCCCCCTCCTTCCCACTTGCCTTCCCCCCCCCCTCCTTCCCACATACTAGGCATGTGTTCTTTGAACTATGCCTACAACTCTTAAACTACAATTTTGACCTATAATTGGATTTTGACGACCATGTTTTCCTAACAGAGAGAACTGAAATCCTTACTGATAATCAGGGTTACTGTTTAGTGAGACCATTGCGTGATTGCATATGTACACAGCTTCATAGATGTACATCAGTATGCACACATGTTCACACATCTATAAGCATGTTTTTGTCTTTTTGCATAGTCTTGAAGCAGAAAGCAAAAACTTCCTTTGTATTCCTGGTGTGCCACCTGATGCCTGGTGCGTGAAAAGTGTTTGTTGTAAGTGACTTCATAGAATTCAGTTTAGAGCATTGTATGTTTATTATTGGAGCTGAAGCTGATTGGGGTGTGCCTTCTTCTGGGGTAAGGAGAAATAGGAATGGTCTTTAAAATAGTAAAGAGCATTGATGGAAAACCATTTTCTTAAAAAGTTAAGCATGCACTTCTCTCACATAAGCCAGCATTTCCCCTCCTCAGTATTTCTTCAGAGAAATAAAATCATGTCCATACCAAGATTTGTAAATGTGAATACTCACAGCCCTTTCGTTCTTAACGGCCAAATGTTGGAAGCAATTTCTCTCAAGATTTTTTTTCTTATATGGATAGGTGTTGGTCCACATGTATGCATGTGTATCACATGCATGTCAGGTGTCTGAAGAGCATGTTATATGTTCCCTAGAACTGGAGTTACAGACAGTTGTAAACTGACATGTGGATACTGAGAACCGAACCTAGGCCATCTCTGGATAAACAAATGGTGCAGTACTCTTACAAGAGGATGCTCAAAAATAAGAATAAAGAACTAAAATACATTAAATACAGCTACTTCTCAAAAGTACTATTTTTAAAAGAAATCAAACAAAAAATGATGAACCTTGTGATTTTATTTATATGAAATTATATAAAAGTCAGAACAGTGGTGACTTTTATATATTATGTAAATTATATATATTATATATTAGCGAATTTTAACTTGAGTAAATTACATCAACAAACAAGACAAAAAGAGACCCAAAAGAGTATTAAACACAAACTTCCAAATAGTTTACAGTATCCTCCCAACATAAGAGGATGGATGTGTGTGTCAGTCAGATAACCCACTTGGATAAGGCCAGGGAAATTTTACACTGTAATCTAACATCATGACTGGTAATTCTAAGAAACAATTTCTTCATAGTAGAAGTAATCATTAATTTGATAAAAATTAAATGTAATTATTAGAACTATCATATCTGCATACTTGTATCTATATTCCCAAATTTTGAGAACACAGATTTTAAATGTAAGACATTAAGAAAATTAGAACAACCTTTCTGAGGATGTAAACAAAGAAAACAACAATAAATCTCAAAACTGCAGAAACTAGGAGCAGTAACTCCAGATGAAAAGTCAATGCCTTCCATAACATGTGACCCCAAGATACCAGAGCTCAGTAGGTTCCTGTGAAATGCTGCTATCAAATTCCACCCATGAAACACGTGTCAGCGAGCCTTGAGGCTTGGATAAAGACCATGCTTGGAGGCTTTTACTGTCAGCTCCTGCTAATAACTTGTTACATATGTGAATCACTTGCTCAGCTACTATACCTAGGGAACAACAAAGTTTCCATCTTATGAGATGCTATAGGAAGGCAATGAGCTCATTGCCTTGAGAACAACTGTAGAAAAAACAAAAAGCCCAATTTTAAGAGATAGGTTTCAATGTTGTCTTTGTTTTTTCTGCTGCTGTGATAAAATAAAACCAGCTTAGAATAGAAGGGTTTATTTTGGCTCACGAGATTGTGGTTCATCATTGCAGCCAAGTCAGCAGCAGGAGCCTAGGTACAGCTGGTCACATTGTATCTGGACAAACAGCAGAGAATAATGAATGCTTTCTTTCAGGATCCCAGCCTAGGGAATGGTGCCACCCATCATGAGCTAGGTTTCCCACCTCAAATGTCCCAATCAAGACAATTTCTTGCTGTGGAAAATCCTTTTGTACACTGAAGATTTGTCACTGTGATTTCTTTAATAAGCAAACTGACTAGCCAATAGCTGAACAGGATAATATTTGATGGGAAAGCTAAACTGAGAATGATGGGATAAAGAAGGGTAGAGTCAGAGGAGTTGCCAGCCAGATAGAGAATTAGTCAGACATAGGAAATGGAATAGAAGTAAAGGACATGAGCCTCAGTACTGACCATTTGAGAGCGTCTGTGGGACAAGGAAACTACTGTCTACAATCCCTAGCAAGCATGCTCTAAATTTTATCAAGTTGACAACTGATACAGTTTATTATAAAGTATCTTAGATTTTAAGTATGTGTCTCATTAGCCACACTCTGACCTTTTGGACTCATCTGGATCAATAAGTCCATAGCCTGGTTATAGTGGATTATTAGAAATGATTGGATTATGTAACCACAGTTACTAAAGAAACTCTGCTTAATGATTAAAGCTTTAGCCTTAAGGAACTGGGTGGTGTGGTGTGTGTGCACATACCTGTGTTTATGGAGGTCGGCCTGAGCCTGAGGTGTGTTGTTCCTTAGGATACCTTGTGCTGGTGATTTTGTTTTGTTTTTATTTTTTAAGATTTTCATCCCCTCCCCCCCCCACCCCGTGTGTGTGTGTGTGTGTGTGTGTGTGTGTGTGTGTGTGTGTGTGTGTGTCTGTATCTGTGTCCATGCCTACTACACAGGTACAGGTATCATCTGTAGCCAGAAGGGGGCATCAGATCCCCTAGAGGCAATTACAGGCTGTTGAGTGCTGCCTGGCAGGTGCCAGTCCTTTGGAAGAGCAGAAAGTTCTCTTAAGCCATTTCTCCAGCCCCATCTACCTTGTTTTGTGAGATGAGGTCTCTCACTAGGACATGGCATAGTTAGGCTAGGCTGGCTGGCTGGCTGGCCAGTGACCCCCAAGAATCTGTCTTTTTCCACCTCTCCAGGGCTGGATTGTCAGTATATACCACCATGCCTGCTGGTTTTTTTTTTTTTTTTTTTTTTTTTTTTTTTTAAATATGCATTCTGCTTATACAAGACTGAGCTGTCTCCCCAGACCCTAAAGGGTATAATGTTGTCTTGACTAATATTGTTGTTGGAGAAATGGCAATGGGATCCTCTACCTTATTTTGATTTTCCTCATTCTAAACAGGAATACAGTCTTTCATACAGATTGGAAATGTGGGGAAAACATATGCTTTTGCTTATCTATGAATTCTTTAGTACCTTCCAGATTTTATGAAACCGATTTTAAGAAAAATGCCATTTTCACCAGTTTTTTAAAAGTTTTTTAAAAGTTACTTGGTGTGTGTGTGTGTGTGTGTGTGTGTGTGACCATAGCACATTGATTGGCAGGTCAGAGGAAAACTTGAAACAGGCTCTCCTTCCATGTGTATCCCAGGGACTGAACTTGGGTTGTCAGCTTGGTAACAAGAGCCTCTACCTCTAAGCCATCTCACAGCTCCTGGCTAATTAGTTTAAGTGCTGGCTCAGTGGCACACCTTTCTGGGTACCAGTTAAGTCCCACACTTCTGTGGTCCACATTTTCATCTTCTGATGCCCCAGAAAACACTCTGTCCATTTTGAGCTGGAGAATGCTGACCCACTACATTTCTCTTTCAGCATCCGGTGCTTGATGAGCCCATAGCGGAAGCCGTCTGTATCATTGCAGACACGGACAAGTGGACTGTCCAGGTGGCCACCAGTCAGAGGAAAGTGATGGACACCGTGAAGCTGGGCCAGGATGTCTTGGTCTCTAACCAGGTGTCCTGTTTACTTCAGTCCATTTTACAGCTCTATAAGCTTCACCTGCCTGCTGACTTTGTAAGTATTTAGTCTTTTACCATCAAAAACCACGTAATTAGAAGATAGGTTTTATTCACTGTTTTGATTATAAATATCACAAATTCGGGCACATTGTTTTTTTTTAACATATGGAAGATTAACATTGCGGCATCAAAGCCACAAACAGGGCTGAGCTTTGATATTGCAGAGGACAGTGTCAGCTGAAAAAGCAGCAATTAAGGTAGAGGGGAGGGGAGGGGACTGAGCTGAAAAGGAAATTTTAAATCCACATTGGAGAACTTGTAGATGGATCTGAGGCAGGCCAGTTCTAAGGGGAGTGTGTTCCTTCTTTTTTGTGAATACCCTTACAGTGCATCACAGGTGAAATGAGTAGTTCACAGTTGAAAGCAGTTTTCAAGAGCTTATCACATGGCGTCAGTTTGCTCCTTACCAGGTGGGATTTTGTGATGGCCTAAAAACAGCTTAGAAAGACCTAGAAAATTGTTGCCAGCTCTCCCCAGTCAGTGGAATATACGTAGCCAATTGGAATACCTCTTTTCAACAGAGAGGTTGGAAGAGGAAGTACATTGAGAAAGTGAGAAAGGAAAGTTAGACAAGGAGAGGAATGAAAGGCAGGTAGCTAAGCAGCCTAGTTGTGCTAGCTTCAGGGACACACACACACACACACACACACTACGTGGACGTGCCTGCTTTTTCTGCTTCCTTCCCTTCTGTGCGGGGTTGCTCTTTGTAGCCAAGCCTGAGTTCAGATTTCTGTCTTCCTCCTGCTCTCAGGAAGCAGCAGCACAGTACTGTTTAACAGCAAAACAGGAAGCTGAGTATCAGTTAATACACTGATTGCCAGTTCACTGGTCATCTGTCTGTATTCTTACAGCCAGATGCTCAGTTACACTACTTTCCACACACAGTCAAGACTGACATAGGTATTCTGAGGGATGGTTGTGAAAGCTGTGGCAGTGGGGTTGAGGAGGAAGACCTTGCAACATCCCTGAGTTCTACTTGGCCATTACTCCTTGTGTGATGGACAATTCGCAGTGTCTCTGAAGCTCGGGTTTCCTGTTTACTGCATGAAAACAGTACAGGCATGTTGTGAGAATGCACTGAGAATCAGAGAGGAGATGCTGCTTTTCAAACTACCAAAGTGCCACACCAGCACAGGAGGCTATAAGAACCACTTTGTGAATAGATTCATGGTCAGTACGTGGGCACGAGGGGCAATTCATGTTCTGTGTATGAGCCGTGTAACCTCTCCGAGCCTCATTTCTCTATCTGCACATGTGAAGGAAAAATATAATCTGCTTCAGGCCAGACAATGGTGGCAAACACCCTTAATCCCAGTACTCAAGAGGCAGAGGCAGGTAGATCTCTGAGTTCAAGGCCTGCTAGGTCTACAGAGCAAGTTCCAGGACAGCTGGAACTACACAGGAAAACCATCTTGGAGGGGACAAATCTGCTTCATATGCTTAGGAAAATTAGTTAATTCATACGAATTAACTTGGAATAGTGGTGGGTGCTACAAGTCATCAGGAAACAGGTATTATTGGTATATGTCAGTGACAGACAATATTGATGGTATAAAAACTGTCGTTGCCAGTTCATAAAAAATTTTATTTGGCTTTTAACTGAAGCATGCCCTTGCAGGATGTCTGTCCCTGGGGAAGCAGGAGAAGCATTCAGGTCTGTTATGGTCATCCTTTCTCCTAGAAGCAGTCTGAATTGTTCTGACGTTGAAGCTTGGGTTTCCTTTTCTGTAAAGGAAGGAGAAGACATTAGACCTCATGGTGGCTTGCTGCTGTCTTTAGAGATGCCTATGTTGGATTCTCTAATACATTGTTCTTATTTGTGACATCTTAACTATCAAAGCAATAAATTATAGGAAAGTCTTTTTGTTTCATCTGGTAGATGTATGTATACATAACTACTTATTACTACATGAATGATCTGTATAACCTGACAGAACCAAGATCCAAGAGAATTCCATCTAAGTATTGCTTACGAGAAAATACACAAGGGACTTCTATATGGAAGAAAATAACTAAAGTTTTAGAAGTTGAAAATGGTATTCCTCTCAGAAGTAAAATCCTTCAAAGAAGGGGAAATCACTCAACATAATTCTATTTGATTATGAAGCTTTCAAAAACATTTTTTTCATAAATATATTTTTCCACATTTAGAAGGTATTTCTAGACCCAGCATTGCATCGCACATTTTTTTTCTGTGAACTGAAAACACTATACATAAACCACTTAAGACATTAAACATTCGATAGCATTTGAATGTTTCCTGTTATCTTGAACTTTTATTTATTGAACTTTGTATTTCACTCCACAATGAGCCAAAACTTGTTAAGAAATCCCTCTGCCACTTACCTCTGCTTACCTAGAGAAATATTTCTGAGGAGATAGGTGCCATCCCCCTGCCTTGATTACTACTTGCAGTCAGTCATGGTTCATCCCCAGCATAGTGCCCCTAAGAAGCTAACCAGTGAGAAACTGGAAAGCTCACACATGTCACAGACACTCCTGTGTCATTGATCAGCCCAGATGTACAGGATTAACATTTTCAAATGTGTCTGTTAATCTTTTTACCATGAAAATAAGAGGCCTAATGGTCTATAAGGAAAGTATGCATGATGGAATTACCTTTGCCAAAGCCACCAGACATTGGGGTGACTGCCTGCCAAATGCAAAAGCATTTGCCACTGGTGAGAGAGGCAAATGGATGGCTGCAGTTCTCTAATCACTGAAGATAAACACAGTTCTAAGGGACAATTGTCTCTCCTTTTGTTGTTAAAGACCTAGTTAAAGGATATTCTTGAAAGCAAAACAGAAGCCTGAAGTGACCTTGTTCCAATCATTCTGCTTCTAGGAATGTATTATGCCAGAAAAATCTGAGGTAGAGAAAGAAAACAAGAGCTAACACTCTTTACAAAATTACAGGCCAGATGTAACTGCCCCATAGTTAAGTAAACAGGAAGGAATTCTTAAATTTGAGGTTAAGTTTCTTAACAAGAAAGTTTGTGAACAGAGACATAAAGACGGTACAACCATTAACCTACTTTTGCGACCCAGAACTCACTGTCCAGTGGGGTTTTGATACATTGAGGAGGAATATGGATGAAAGCTAAAACAGTGATGGTGTTGACTCTGATTGGTTCCAAGAATAAAGGGTTGACTTAAAAGCCAAAAAGACAGGGGATGTTCATGTTTATAGAATGATTGCAACTCTTTAAAAAAATTTTTAAAGATACTAGAATGATATATAAGAATGTTAATAGCTATTTTGTGAAAAACTTCAGTTGGTAGTTTTGGGGACTTATTTGAAAAGGGGGTAGTTATAGTTGTAAATGTAGAAATAGTAAGAAGGTGGCCAGCTCTTAAAGATCCTGGATGACGCTGAAATTGTAGTCCTCATTGTGAATGCTGTTGGCTTTGCAGTGCATCATGCATCTGGAAGACAGACTACAGGAGATGTACCTTAAAAGTAAAATGCTTTCAGAGTATCTCCGGGGACACACACGTGTGCACGTGAAAGAACTGAGTGTGGTGCTGGGGTGAGTTCTGTGAAAGGCTGGCCTTCCTCCCAGGTGTACTGACCATGTCTACACACGCGCACACACACACACACACACACACACACACACACACACACACCCCTACCCCTTATTGGCCTCTGTCATTCTGTACCTACAGGATCAGTAACTCTCACCATGCCCAGGGTCACTCAGGTGTGTGCCCATGCTGTTCCCCAATGAGTTGCAGGATATAGGCTGGAGCAACATTTGATCTCACTCTGCCTCTTCATCTCTGGTGACACAGTAATGATGCAAAAGTCACAAATGTCAAGTAGTGGCAGCTTTTATCATATTATGGAGAAGGTGGGAGGCACCCTGTGGACCTCTGGGTTTACCCCACCCAAGAGAACACTTGTTCATTAACTAAGGTTGCACACCATCTTGAGGGCATTGGCCATACTTTCTCTATAAGAAATTCTGACTTGCTTCATTTTAATTTTGAGTATAGAAATAACAAAAAAGACTATGCCTATGAGAAACGTTCCCCCATATCCCTGATGATTCTGTTAACTTGCAGTAAGAAAATACTGTGTCTATAATGTCAACCTTAAATTTTTTACTAAGCCTGATAAAGTTTTGTTTTATGTAGTTAGTTTTGTTTTGCTTTTTGAAAGAGTTGTGTTTTTTAAGACGGAGTGTGACTTTGTAGACTTATGATGGCTTTAAATTCGGAGTCCTCTGGCTTCAGCCTCTTTGTTGCTAGGACCATAAGCATATGCCACATGCCTTTCTCTCAAAGTAATACACATCATCATCATCATCTTTAAATGTATTTTATTCTTGTGTGTGTGTGTGTACTTGCACACAACATGTATGAAAGTGTGCTTTGGGGTTACAGGCAGTTATGAGCCTCCTCACATGGGTGCCAGGGCAAAACTCCAGTCTTTCGAAAGAGCAGCATGTGCTCTTAGCTGCTGAGCCATCTCCAGCTCTTACAGTATAGGTTTAAAAGTTAGTCCTTGAATTCTTGTCAGATTTGCTGTCTTTTATAGCTACATGTGACAAATTAGTGGTTAAAACAATAGGAAAAGCTATTGCTATGAAAAGATACCATGGCCAAGGCAACTCTTATAAAGGAAAACATTTTATGGGGCTGGCTTACAGTCTCAGAGGTTTAGTTCATTATCAACATGTAGAGAGGATAGTGGCATGCAGACAGACATGGTGCTGGAGAAGTAGTTCTACAGGTCTTTATCCTGATCCGTAGGCAGAGACTGGGCCCGCCATGGACGTTCAAAACCTCAAAGCCCATCCCCAATGATACACTTCAACAAAGCTACTCCTAATCCTTCTAATCCTTTCAAAAGGTGCCACTCTCTGGTGACTAAGTGTTCAACAGTCTATGGGGGTTGTTCTTATCCAAACCACCATACCTGCCATACATTCTTTTTTTGGCAACTAATTTTAAAATATTTTCCTGTTTGGAGGCATTGAGCTTCTGCTATTAACTTGTAAGACACTTCAGCTGTTTTCCATTCTTAGCCTCCTCGTGCAATACTACCTAGAACTAGTCCTTTGGTTACGGGATTCTGTCCTACTCTATGACTGTGACGTATTCATAATCATAGAAAAAAGTTTTAATTGTGAGAGAAACAATTAGGATGCATTCCACAAATCGAAACCTCCAGTTCTTCCCCCCACCCACAACACCTGACAGCATTTTGCCATAAACCATGTTGTGCCCAGTGTGCTGTAAGAAGCAGCCCACACCGTGTCCATCTGAAGCAATGACACCTCTCACTAGAGGTGTCCTTAGAACTTGTCCTTAGAACACTGAGGTTCAGTTGCTCAGTAGGTCACAGAACTGTTGTTTGAAGAACTGGCCTTGTTAGTCCCCTAAGACTGATTTGGGTGTAGGTGCAAAAGGCAGTATGCCTGCAAGAGGAAGGAGATGCCGAGGAACCCACAAAACACAACATCACGAGGTCGTGCGAGGAGGCTGGGTTGGATGTTCCCTGCTTCAGGAAGAGCAGCCTTCTACCCATGCTCATAGCACTGACCTCCCTTTGAATCAGTGTCTGCTGGGAGGATTTTTACTCTTTTACTCATACGTTTTCTTACATTTTATTTATCTATTTAATGTATGTGTATATGTGTGCAGGAGCATGCATGTGCCAGGGTGCATGTGTGGGGGACAGGGCAACTTGCAGAAGTCAGGTCTCTCCTTCATCATGTGGCTCCCAGGGTCATCAGCCTTGGCAGTGAGTGCCTTTACCAGCTAAGCCATCTTGCTGGCCTGTTTTTACACTTTCATTAATTTTAAAAGATGGTCTAGACTAGAAGCTGGTACCTAGAGATACTTCCTTATGAAACAATGTGTTTTCAAAGTCCTATCCTTGAATTTCTCAACCCTCAGGATTGAATCCAACGACCTGCCTCTGCTGACGGCGATCGCCAGTACTCATTCTCCTTATGTGGCACAGATCCTCTTATAACTGACTGAGGACTGGACAGTTCTTGGAAGATGAGTCAGAAAGCAGTAAGCTCTCAGTGACAGCGAAGGCGTGAGAACACCTCATCTGCAGGCTTGTGTTTCCTCGATGCAGTGGCAATTTGCGATGGTTCACAAGTACTCTGAGCCTTTGTTTCCCAGGAATCAAAAGGAGGTGACCTTTCTGGCGGGAAGGAAACGTCAGCACTACAGTCAAACTAATAAGATGCCCTCCTACTGTTGGGCAGAATATTGAGAGCTGGAGTAGGGGGTAACCAATGAGTAGAACATTCCAGTAAGAAAGTGTTTCCTGTTTAAGTGTGAGAGAGCATGAACTGCTGCTCTGAGAACAAGCTGTGAGTCCTAGGTCGGAGCTCTCTTTACTGACGGTGACACAAAGAAAGCCACATTGTGCCACTGTCTGCTCCGTGAATTGTTTCACGTAGGATGTGGAAGAGGGTTGCCTGTTGGGAAGAGGACTTTGTCACTTCTCAGAGTTTACTGTGGTTCCAGTGCAGTCACAGGCAGGTCTGGGAGGGACTGCTGGTGCAATAAATCCAAGATTCAGTGTAGCACCCCTCTCGGCAGGTGCAGTCTAACACTGGGTAGTCATCTTCAGCTTTAGTGTCTACAGCCTTCTCCACAAAAACCTCTACCAAAGTTGTTTCCATGAGCTCAGGCGAGTTTCTGTGGCTGAGTTCTCCCAGCCCGAGCCTCTCTCTCCCCTGCTGTCCGGAAGATGCCTGGCTATGCTGGAAGGTGCAGATGCTCGCTGGGATGTGAACCCTGAAGGAGCTCAGACAAGGGACAGCAGGAAGGCAGGCAGGATCATTTGTGATCTCAGCTTTTACACAGTCAGTTCTGCACTTTTTAATGCCTTCAATATTCTTTTAAGAACATCTTTCCAGAAATTGACCTGACCATTTATAAAACTTACCAAGGTGAAGAACTGTAAAAGCTCAATTGGTATTTAAGCCTCAAGAACCTTAGTCTGTTAAAAGACTTTAAAAACGGAAAAAATGTGATGTTTAAAGGACAGGAGCCAGACGGGTCAAGTCAAACCCTGTTGGCTCCTCAGTCCTTCCTTCTCACGTGCCCTAGAATGTTGGGATAGCATCTAGGGGCTCAAGTGACTTCAGAGTTTATATTGGATAAAAGCCTGGCCCATGGCATGTTAGTCGCCCTTCATTACAAACACCATGTGCTCCCATCTACTGAGGACAAATGTCTACATCATCTCTTAGTCGGCCTTCCTTCCTCTCTCCCTCCTCTGCTGCTTCCCCCTCTACCTCCCCCCCCTTCCCCTCTGGTTCTGCCCTTCTCTCACTTTTTGTGATTTGGTAAAAATAGATGATGCCTCAAGGCACTTAAGATCTTTAATTTGCCTTTTATGTATTTCACAAAATTGAGGTGTCCCATCCTTCTAAATATCTTTCCATTTTCCATTAGCTGACATTTGAGTTGCTGTTTTCAATTTGTTGGCTTCCTGATGTCGTCATTTGCCATGAATCCCACCTTTGGCTCAGCTCTCTGGGCACTTGTCTTCCTTGGTGTGCATGAGCTGTCAAAGCAGATGTCAGCACAGCCTTCTACCCTTGCCAGTGCAGAGCACTCCCGCTCTTCTCCCGGCCTCTCTCATTTACATGTGGACAGTGCCTCTATCCCCATCTTCAGAGGTTTCAGAGAAAACAACTTGTACAAAATCAGTTCACTTCTCACAACATGTTGACAGCCAGACTCGAGAATTGAGCTGTCAGCAGGTTGATTCTCATCCTCATGCATAAAAACTTAGCCCAGTTCTTCAAATCCTGAAAAACTTAAACCTGCCTCTTCCTCTAATGTTCCAAATTTCAGAAAAGCAGCCGGTGGGAAGCTCTGGGCGTCAGTGCCCTCAGCTTCCTCTCACTGCAGCAGAGAAGGGCACACTGCTCTTCTCCTGACTCCGAAGGTGTGGGATGTCCACATTTTCTTTGTCTTAAATTCAGCTTTGGCTCAGAAGTAGAAAAACAACAAAGCATCTCATGGACTTCCGTTGAGACACACCCACATCCTGCACCATGATGGCTTTCTTTTGTCACAGCAGAAGAGTCCAAAAAGGGACTCCACCTTCTCCTAGGCCCAACTCAAGGGAAAAAAAAAAACTTTTTTTTTAATGTTTAAGTAAAGAAATCTACCTCAGTTGACAGGATTCCACCCACCCTTAGGATTCTTCAGCTCGTAAGTCTAACCTGCTGAGTGTCACTCTGGCAGCGCCCTGCTTTTTGGACTGAGCAGGCTAGTGAGGCACAGCAGAGCGGAAGTATGTAAGCATTACTGTGATGACCTCTTTCTAGCATGTTGCAGTTTTATATTTGATAAGTTGATAAGTGATATGAATGTATAGGTAGTTGTGTATGTTTTAAAAATGACAATGAAAATTGAAAATGTAGCTTCCATACTTGTGTATAATCCCAAAGTATCTTATTTTATCAGTGTTAAATAGCTTTTGGACAGCTTCAGTCCATTTTTCAGAGGTGTGCTGTTTTATATGGAAAGGAACTTGTCTTCTCACATCTCATGGAGCTGCCGTTTACACATCACAACTTTTTAGCTTACTGTATTTTTTCAGAATTAACTTTTTTGGAGGGAGGAAATTCCCCACTTGCTAAACGATACTAAATTGTTGTCTGAGCTTTTAAAATCAGGTCTTCAGATTTTATAAACTAGTCTGTAGCTTTTTAGGTTCTTCATTAGTTGGATGTACATAAAGGAATAAAATGACTTTCAAATTGCTTTAAATGTCTGGAGTTTTTTCCACTGATGCACACTTGGGGATGTTGAGTTCACTCATACTTTCATCATTAACTGAAAAGGTCCATAGCTTCTTTTAATGTGAATCAGTGTTTTGGATTTTTTTTTTTTTAAATATTGTGCTTGGTGGAAAGGATATTTTAATACATTTTTTGGGGGGGGGCCTAAAGCAGCCTCTCTGAATGTTAATTTTTAAAATGTTAAAATTTGGTGAATATCTGAAACATGTGTTTGCATTATGTTTAAATTTCAGTGTTTTAAAAAGGAGAAAATTCTGGGATGTATTATTATTGAACTTCAATTAAGAGAAATTGATAGGACTGTTTTTTTAAATCAGTTGAATGAATACCTGTGTTGTTGTGTGAAAAGTTTTTCCTAAAACTGCGTCTACGTATTATTTTAATCCATTTTTCTGTGACATTTGGTGCAATAAACTTTTTGAATTTATCTTGCATATTTTCTTGGTGCTTCATGATTTGTTTGTTGCGCTTAATCAAATGCAGTCTTGAAATAATTTGTGGTGAATTGAGGTCACTATATGTTAGTAATTTGGAAGTTTGGAGACATTTTGTTTGCACCCTGGTGGGTGAGAATACTGGCCCCAGTACACTATCAGGATTTGGGCCAGGTATGTCAGGAGACACATCCTGAAGCCTGTGGGAATGTTCCAGGGCCAGTCTGGCTGACCCTCCATTGCCCTACCTGACATTCACTAGACATTCACTAAGCTGAGAATTTGTGGTTTCCACCTGACATTAGCACATGGTGAAATTGCCAAGGATGTAACTGTTGTCCACCCTGGGGCTGTAGATTTACTTTGTAAAGATTTTAACAAATGGTCTTCACCCAGAACTGATGGTGTTTTGGAAATTTCCTCATCAATAGCTTTGACTCGACTAAGATCAGGACATCAATACCATGCATAGCTGTCAGTGTGCAGTTGGAGGTCCTGCTCCAAAATGTGCACATTCAAATAGCAAATCCAGGGGCCAGGAGAAATGGCTCAACAGGTGAGGGTGCTTGCTGCCAAGCCTTAGGCTCTGAGTTCGATCCCCAGGACCCACGTGATGGTTGAACGAGAGAACGAACTCAAGCACAGGACCAGCAAGCAACTTTCGCACATGCTGATTTTGCCACAGCATGACAGCTCCATGGCACATCTTCAGTAGGACAATACCCAAGCAATCGTATGATGGCTACCCATGTGGGCACCAGCATGCTTGCCATTTGCTGCTGGTTTTGTGACAGAATCTTCATTTTCTTTCTCTGAACACCACCTTGCACAACGAGCAGATTTGGAGCATCTGCTGATTTCTTCCTCCAGGATAGGACTTGAACTACAGAGGGGCATCCCCTTCCCATATTTTGTAACGTTGGCCTTACCCTTGGTAGCTATGCATGGGGCCCAGCCCTCAGTGTCTTCTTAGTGTCCCTTTCAGTTCTCTCACTCTCAGTCTACCTTTCAAGCTGGAAAAGAAGAAAGTTCCCAGCTTCTGTTTATAAGCAATCTTGAAACAGTTTTAAAGCATGCCATTTAAAAAGGGCTTGTATATGCAAGCACAGTCTATATTCCCCTTTGGTTTCTTACTGCTTGCACTCTTCTGTTGGATGATTTATGTAATTTTTGCAATATTTAATCCTCACAGCTGGGTGAGATGGGTACCATGGTGGTGAAGTTCTTGTGTCAAGTTGGCTAGGCCATTCTGCTCAGACACTTGGTCAAATATCAATCTAGGTCCTGCTGTGAGGGTATTTTTTCTTTTTAGATGAGATTAATATTTAAATGAGTAGATAGAGTAAAGCAGATTACCAACTATAAGTGAGTGGGCCTCATTCAATCAGTTGAAGGACTTAGATTTGGAAAGAATAGATCCTCCCCCAACCTCTGGGAAGAGGAGAATCGCATCCAGATGGCCTCTAGGTCCAGCATCAATCTTTTGCTTGCCCCAGCAAAGGCCAGCAAACCCTATACACTATGGATTTTCAAGTTCCTACCATTACACCGGCCAGTTCTTTGTGATAAGTACTCCTCTGTTTCCTCATCTCCAAGTGTGCATATAGGTTCTTTGGCTATACAGGTATTGAAGAGATCAGTGCAGTAGTATTTACCATTAAAATGGACTTAGGAGGGAGCTACATACTGTAATGCCAATTTATAGGACATAGCCTCTTCTATCTCTCTCCTTTCCCCTCTCTCTTCCTGATGATCTCACTGTGTGGTCCCTGCTGGCCACTAATTGGCAATGCAAACCAGGCTGGCGTTGAACTTGTGACTATCTTCCGGTCTCTCACCTCCCAAGTGCTTGGATTACAAGCATGAACCACCAGCCCTGGCTTAGAATTAGACTTTAAAATATCTTTAACATAGCAGATACAAGCATGAACCACCAGGCCTGGCTTAGAATTAGACTTTCAAATATCTTTAACATAGCTGATAGCACAATTAACCCCATATAGTGGAAATCCCCTCTACTCTGCTACCTGGCCCCTCCAAACCTCTCACACTAAGGGTTCAGCCTGCACCCCGTCATTCCTATAACAGCCTGAGTATTCCCTACACCTGGAGTGTGTTGGTCTGATTGTTTCTCTCATCATCACTTTTCATCCTTTCTGCCTTCAATCCTTCCCTAGTTTTAGTTGAGTAGTCTAATGCTGTCCAAACTTACCTCCATTTCATACCGAGGAGTTGTAATCAATCGTCTTCTGTGCCAATTTCCAAACCTTTCTAAAGTGCTTTAGTCCTGTCTCTCCTCTCTGTTTAAACAGCAGCCCAGTAAACCCTGAGGGCTTTAGCATTGTGGACACAAATGAGTTACACCCAGCATCATCACCAGGTAGTCTTTGTACATGTACACACACCCTTTTACTGAGCTACACACACCCTTTTACTGAGCTATATCCCTAGCCTTAGTTTTTATTTTGAAATAGGATTTTACTAAGTTTGCCAGGCTGGCCTTGAACTCAGTATAATCCAGGCAGGCTTCTGCCTCAGATTCCTGAGTAGCTGAGATTACTAAACTACCACGACTGGTTCACTTTCTCAGTTTAGGAAATCGGATCTCACTGTGCCGCCAAAGCTGACCCGTTTGTTGCCTTTCAGTGATTCTCCCTGCTCAGCCTCCTGAGTAGTTGAGGCCACAGTACATGCTACAGTGCCCAACTTCTTTTCAATCCAATATGCAGCCATATTGAAGCACTTAAATTCTCCAGAAGACAGGCTTTCCCTCCCAGTCTCCTCCTTCCCCCGGTCCAACCAATTCCCTTCTGTTCTATCTCCAAATTCAATTCATGGTCAAATCCTCTGGCACCCTGGTACTCAAGGTCCCCAGACCATCCACTACCAGTGTTGTCTGGGAACTGGGCAGAAATGCAGAATGGCAGACCCACTGCAGACCTACTGACCTATAATCTGCATCTGAATCCAGTCACCACGGGGTTTGTGTGCACATTAACATCTGAGAATCCATTCTTGAGCTCAAAGGCAGTGAGGGAGTGACAAAAGAATGCATGAAGTAAAAGAAATTCTCAGAAAAAGAATATATTAGCCACTGAAGTTACATTGGTATATTGGAATTTAGAGGGCCTCAATACTGGCAAGCTAAGAATGAAGTAGAAATGAATGGTGTTAAAAAGTGGTCTAAGCCCATAAATTTTACAACATTTAGGTCACCACTACTTACTGAGAAGAAAAAAAAAAAATTAAGATGGGAGAATAACAAAGATGGAAAAGAAGATAGAACTTGAGAGATGTTTTGTAATGTTTAAAAAGAAAGGAATTTAACATGAGAATCACATTTGCCTAATTGAATTCCAAAAATATTTGTTAGTGCATTCTAGGTAAATGTGTACAAGAATGCTTCATACTATTAAATACCATAAATTACACTTTTTACAAGCTCTCAAGTTTGTAAGTAGAGAAATGCATCCAATAGCACAAATAAACATCCCATTTCCAACTCCCTCCAGATGAGGTGTGTTCTACTGTGACAAGGACAGTTTTTTTACTCCATAGTGGCTGTTGGTACAATTATGATTCTTACAGCGTAAGAACGGGAAGTATGCCAGCATGGAGGCACATGCTATAATCCCATCTCTCTAGAGGTGATGGCAGGGGAATTGGGAGTTCAAGGCCAGCCTGGGAGACATGGCCAACTCTCAGCCTCTCTAGAGCAGAGATGACTGCGAGCATTCACCATTTCCCAAGTGGGAGGAGCCCTGCGGATGCCTTTTACATGTTGTATTCATTATTGGCTTTTGAATATGTAAGAACAGCCTCTTGGAGTTATGTCCATGAAGAGGGGTTACACAAAAGAGGGTGGGAGTTTTCTCAAATATCCACAACTCTGAGATCCTCTAAAAACACAGACGGGGATAAAGAGCTTCTAGTGTATTCTGAAATTTTGAGAGAAAGCCTGCCTGAAGGAAAGTTTATGTTGAATGATACAGTATTATTTATTTATTTATTTTTGAGAAGGGATGTGACTGTTCACTGGAAATGAGTTAACCCCACATCTGGTGGCACTCCATTTGACAGGGTTTCCTATGCATACCACACAGTCTGAGTCAGCCTGCACAGAGACAGTAGACTGTCAATCCACCTGAAGAAAACATCCTGACATTTCCTACAGCCTTCGAAAGATGAAGACGAAGACACAAACGGAGAGAAACTTAGCAGATAACTATTTGTGATGTGTGACCCTAGCATAAGTCTTGGCTCAGTAAGATCTGATTATGAATTGTAGAGCTAGATCTTAAAACTGTAACCATGGCAATATGAGAGACCATCTTTGTTCTTAGGAAATATACGCTGAAGTGTCTAGAAGTAAAAGGGCATTGTGTTTGCAATTCCCTTGAAATGGTACATGGGATGGGGTCTATACACATATACGTACATTCGGATTGAGGGAGAAAATACATCAAAGCAAGTAGAATTAATTGATGGGTCTGGGTGAAGACTATATAAGTAGGTCTTTGTGCTGTACTTGCAGAATTTCCTATGTAAATTTTAAGTCATTTAAAAGTTTAAAAAAATCTTTTTAAGCAAAAATTTTAATGCAAAACATAAAAGCTTCGTTTAGATTTAGTGGGTGATAGGAGGCATTTGGAACTAATGAGTGATCATACTCAGAATGAGTTCAATAATATAACTAACTCAGTGTTCCTTTACACAGCTGCCAGTCATTACCTCAATCTTTGCCTTCCCGGAAGTCAGCCCACAGCGGGAAGGTAGCACCTGAACTGCTCCCATTTTCAACACAGTGTCCTTGGGGCGGGAGCCTTCCCAGAGGACAAATCCAGCCCCTCACAGAAAAATTCAAAGGGTGATGGCTGATGAGCAGGATCTCTGGATGCAGGGTGAGTTCTGTGCTAGTGGATTCCAAAGACTCTTCAAGGAAGCAAGACGATACTCCATACACAAAACAAGCATCTGAATGGATGGGAGCTGTTCTGTTTTCCTTTCTATCTTAGGACCTTTGTGTCAAACTATATTAAACAGTGGACAAAGTGCACCGTGCTGTTGTGCAGAAGGCCAAGACAGGAGACAGGTTTGTACACCGACCTCTGAAAATGACTGCGGATTACTTGATTCTCTCTATTTGCTCTCCACACTTTTCAGGAAAGTACCTGCTGCCCCCTTTTATTTATTCTTAAAAGCATGTAGGGAAATTACACACTCTGCTAAGTCTCTGAAGATACTTAGGAGAGAGAAGGAGAGTGAGCTGCTTTATTTTTAATGTCCTGAGCATGTGCAGGGGTTTCCAGGTCTGCCTCCACTGTGCAGGCTGTTTTCTCAGCTTGTGGAAATTAACAGCCTGACCATCCTCTCTACATCAAGCCATGTGGTGGATAAACATTTCTAGGATTGGGACCACACACCTTCCTGTTTTCTTACACCATGAGACTCAACCCAGCTCCCCAACTCAGTGGACACTGACACGGGGAATCTAATCTAGATTACAATTTGGTTTGATAGGTTAAAGGGAACTATGAAACTGTTAGAATCAAATGACACTCTAGTCCATGGCATGACTTTTCTAGGGTTGGTTCAGAAAAATGGCAGCTTACCTTCTCTTCCTTCCGTGGCAGTCTTGGCAGCCTAGAGGGCAAAGTGGTCCTTGGCTGTATACTCTGTTTAACAAGAATAGCCCTTTTGCAGTTTCTCTGTTGGGTGTCTTCGTAATCACCCATATTCCAGGCAAGAAAACCACGACTGTATTCTTGCTTGTCAAGGACTGAAGGCTTCGGTTGCCTGCAAATAGGAACAAGTTAGTTGGGTCACATGGAAAAAGATATAGCTGCCAGTCTTCAGTGGGTGACATTAGTTTTTCTCTCACTGTTTGAGGCAGTTTCTAGCCACAGGGCTAAGGAGGTCTGCAAACCTGACCTGTGTGTTTCATGAACATCCAGAAAGTGCAGCTTTGTCAAGTCCAACTTTCAGTGTTTCAGGAAGAAAATCTCCCAACCATGGACTTTGGGTCAGGTTTACAGATCAGCCTTGAATTTCTCCTGTGGGTCAGGCTTCAATGCAACCAGGAGACAGTTGGTTATCTTCACAATAGTCATACTTTAATGCCAGTGGCACATCTTGCCTGACAGGCTGGTAATGTAGCTGGTAATGTACCTACATGGTACCTTCCAGCACTTGAAACCTAGCCAGCAGGGAGGATGCCCTGGCCCAATTACAGCTTGATTTCTCTATGTCCCAGAGTCAAATGACATGGTATCTTCAGAAATAGGGTCTTGCCATCTAGTTCTGATGAACAACTAAGAGTGCTGGCCTGTGGCCTGTGTGGTTTTGGGTGCCTCTGGGACCTCCTTGATGAAGAACACAGAAGGAAGTGTCCTACATCTTTTCATGGCCTTGACCTCTATTATTTCTTATGAGAAGTCAGTTTTTGATTCTCTGTACTTTATGTCACTGTCCGTTAGCTGTTTTCCGTAATCTAGCTTTGCCTTTGCCTTTCAAGTTTGACCTGATGTGTATATTATAGATCTGTTGAGCTTCCTGAGCATTTACTGTTTTCGGCAGTGACAATGCCATTGTCCATTGATGATTCTGATTGTACAAAAGTGGCCGGGAAGTGGTGGCACACACTTTTAATCCCAGCAGTCAGGAGGCAGAAGCAGGTGGATCTCTATGAGTTCTAGGCCAGCCTGGTCTTGAGCAAGTGCCAGGACAGGCTGCAAAGCTACACGGAGAAACTGTGTCTTGAAAACCTGAAAAGAAAAAAAATAAAGTACCATATGTGTCGCCTGAAGTTTCTGCTCAGTTAGTTCAATGATCAGCCAATGACGGCCAGAGAGTTTCCGAAATACCTTGAATTACTGGGGTTCTGGTTTTCATATGTGATGAGATCTATGTCCATGTCCCAGCAGGCAGGTTACAATGAAAGTTAGCCTTCCTTTACTCTTGGCATACTGCTTTAAGTGAGTGTCCTGGGGTGATCTCAGGCCTTGCTGACCTATACACTGTCTATTACAGGCATACAGCCTTCTAGATTCCTAGAGATGTGTTGACAATTCTCACACACCCCATTCTCTTGTTTTTCCTTTTAAGATTTTTTAGTTAACTGCTATTTGCCCCACCTTGTTTCCCCACCAATAGCCATGATATTGGGTGACTGCTGCTGATTTACTTTTGACAAATGCCCATGAGATAGAGCTGTTTATGTGCAAAATCAGCTCAAATAATTAAAAATGCTGAGAAAGGATTTCCTGGGATGTCAAAACAGGTAAACTATGACATTTCTCTGTGTGAGGCTGTCCCAAGGTCTTCAAACCTGTGTTCCACCTCCAGGGATTGGTAGGCAGCTTGTTTTCATGGCTGTTGTCTTCTAAAATAGTTGGTTTTCACGCCTGCCTGGAGGTATGAAGGAAAAGGGCGGGCAGCTCAGCCTCATACATCTTGAGACTCCTGGCACCCCCATTTTTCTTAAGTGTGCTGAGAATTGCTATGACAGTTCATTTTATGTTTTTTTTTTTTTTTTTTTAAACATATGAGTGTTTTACCTGTGCATGCATGCAGGACCTGCAGAAGCCATAAGAGAGTGTCAGATGTTTTAGGAACTGGAGTTACAGATGGTTGTGAGCTATCCTGCTGGATTTGAGAACCAAACCCAGGTTCTCTGCAAAAGCATCAAGTGCTCTTAACTGCCTAGCCATATTGCTAGCCTGAGATTGTGGGTGGGGGCATTCGTGTACGTGTGTTTGTGTGTGTTACTGCCAGTATGCCTGAGCCGTGTCACTGGTGCATCAGCCAGAGGACAAGCTTGGGTGCCGGTCCCTACCTTGTACCTTCCCAGTTTTTTGCTGTTTGCTTCTACAGGCGCCAGGCTAGCTGGCCTGAGCTCCGGGCGTTCTCCTGTCTCCACCTCCCACCTCACAGTAGGAGCACTGGTTACAGAAACTCACCACACTTAGTTTAACATGTGTTCCAGAGACTGGGCTTATGGGACTCACACCTTCACGGCGGGTGCTTTACCCACTGGGCAGTCTTGCCAGCTCAGGTCTCCTCCTAAGCAGGAAGTAGTGTATATAACCTTATAAAAACCAATTATCCTAATATGAAAAATATGCACAAATTTCACAGTAATCCGATATCATAGTTATTCTCAGTTTTCATAGATCCTAGGGCAAACTGCACGTACAGAAAAACTGGAACTTGGAGCTGTCACTCCAAACAGAAGTAGTAGTATATGGTACTTATTCTTGACAAGTACTAAATGAGTTAATACTTAACAGTTTCTAGCCTGTAGTAAAAATCCTTTGGCATTAGTTTAAGCTCTTATACAATAAGAATAGAACACCGTCTCACAACCAATCCTACTGTCATCCTCATTTTTCTCCCTGCCATCTACCCTGCCATCTTTCCTGTGATGACCGTTTTGATGGGTGACACAACCCCAGTTGTGTGCTGCCCCTAGTCAGCAGAATTACAATTTGCTCTCATTTCTCCTCCATCCCCCCATATATCACTACTGTTGTGTTTCAGTGAGTCCTCTTAGCTCCACCCCCTCCACCCCCCACTGCTCCAGATCAAGCTCCCATCACAGTCCTGTTGCGACAACTTCTGGATTTGAAGTCACTGTCTTTCTCCCTATCGTGTGTGTGGAAGCATGTGTGTCACTCTGCACATGTAGAGGTAGGTCAGGAGAGGTAGGTCAGGTTTAGGGGCAAGTACCTAGACCTGCTGAACCACCCCACTAGCCCTAACCTCCTTCCTTTCAATTTTAAAACAAGAGTTTATTGTCTACTAGAAATTAGCACAAAGCTTTCATTATGGAACAATCTAGCCATACTGGTAGCCAGTCACTCCTCAGCAGGTCATAAGGCTTCTCTACTCCCACCCCTTTTCCTAGGTGACCCAATGGCTAGAATTCCCTTCTCTTCACTTATAGGATCCCCTTTTGTCTCCCGTGCATAGCACAGTACTGTTTCTCCGCGAAAGCATCTCTCTGTGTCTTCCCACAATTATCTCCTTTTCCTTCCCCAACAGAACACTGTGACCACTTATATGCCCATTCTACCTGGTTCTGTCATGAGAATGCTCCTGCCTCATGACACTGTGTGTAAAAGAGGCAACCGTGTCTGTGTGTGTGTGTCTGTGTGTATCTCTCTGTTCCCCAACTCTTCCCCCTTCCTGTGTGTGTGTGTGTGTGTGTGTGTGTGTGTTGAACCAAGAGATTCATCCATGTTATGCAGGTTCTCTACTACTAAGCCATAGCCCTAGTCCACTTCTTACGTTTCTGTGTCTTCAGTCCCCTCATAGTCATTTGTGTCTTCAGTGGTTTCTGACATAGAACTCATTTGCAATCTATTTTGCTTGCATCAATAAAAATACAAAAAAGGAAAAAAGTATTTTTTCTCTCTCCAGTGAGAGCCTGTGATGCTGTCCACAATGAAGGGTTTGGCAAAAACAATGGAACTGATTTTAAGTTAACTGTTTCTTCTATTATTTAAATTACTTTTTTCATAGTCCACCAAGGCTTTTTTTAAAATTTATTTTATATAACAAAGTCCATTTAAATGAAAACAAACATTTATAGACAATATTTGGGAATTTGGGCGTTGTTCTTTCCAAACTACTTCCTGCTGGTAAGGGGCGCTGTCATGGGGGATTCGAAGAAGATTTAGAAATCCTCCACCAAGGCTTTTTATTTATGCATTTTACATCTTTAGAAAAAGAGTCCCAGGATTTCCCCTCTTGTGTGTTTCCTCTTGCTTCTTCATGGTCCATGATGCCAGCTGAGGCTGTCAGTACAATGAAGCCAAACTGACGGGATGGGAGCCAATTGTTCTGCCATTTTTCTAGGTCTTTGAGCTGCACATCAAATCTAGGGCTGATCACTTGTTCAACTTGCCTGTGAGGTTCATGTCAATTTTCCCAGCTCTGTGGTCACTGATGATTTCAAACTCGCCAATGTAACCATGCTTCATTATCACAGTTAGGAACCAAACGATGACTTTGGAGTAGGACCTGATGAGGGCCTGGTGTTTGCCTCTCTTCTCAGCATTGTTGATGCTCCTCAGAGCATCAGCCAGGACATTCATGCCCACCGTGGTGATGGCACGGAAATATGACAGAAAGCTTATATTATTTTTATTACACAACAATGTTTAAAATTTCCTCTCTTCCGGTACAGAGATGACCAATTTTTTTTCCTGGCAGCCTTACACATCAAGAAATGGGCTGAGGAGAAGTAAATAGACTTCAGTGCCCAGGAAAGACTGGCTGGGCCTTGCTTATGTAAGTTTCTAAAACTGACAGGACAGGCTTGGTTTTCATGTGGACACTTCTGTCAAAGAAAACACTCCGGCTGTTGAAGAGGGGGCCTCGAGGATGGGCTGGGCTTGCTCTAGGTGTCTAGCCTTCTGTGATGAGCTGGGACCACTGTGGACTCGTGACTGCTTTGATACATGACCAAATAACCGGCGACTTGTTGATATGTTAGAGAAATAGCTGTCTTGAATGAATGTTTTCCTAAGCTGATTTAAATAGCTAGTTATTCTGGAGCACTGAGCGCCCAGCACCCATGGTGCCTGAATCCACCCTTTCTCTTCTCTGGTGCACTGACTCACATCTTGTGAGTTCTGTCTGGCGAACTAAAAATACTTCTAATAAGTGGATAATGGCTGATTTTTGGATTCTGAGGTTAAATTTAAAAAGTGACTGTTTTAAGTTCCAGGGAGTCAGCCTCCCACCTAATCATAGCACAGTGGGTTACTCACTTGAGTTTCAGATAGAGGCAC